TTTTTTCTTGCAGTGACCCTTCCGCTAATTGCCCCTTGCCTAGGGGTTATAAAATGTATATTTCTGCAAACCTTTGGGGTTTCGCCAACCCTACTCCCTCTCTCCCTCCCTCTTGTGCATATGGATCAGAGCTTGGAAAAGTTGTGTTTCAGATTTTAGTCCTCGGATTTGCCCAGCCAGTATGGTCCCCGGCCCTGCTGGTTGGAGGACTCTCAGGTTTGTGCCAAAGGACCCACTTTTGGAAAATGTGTTTTGGAGCACGCAGATATGAAGGCTCCAGTTCTGTGTCTGTTTGTGTGTGAGAGACAGAAGATACCACCAGCGATCTTTCTGGAGGAGGACGGCTGTCTGTGTGTTCCTGCCAGCCGCTCTTCTCGCTGGAAAGCGTCTGTCTTGCACACCCTCCAGGACGCTGAGCCAAGAAGGGGCCTCCCCACTCCTTCCTGCCTCCTGCCAGTGTCTGCGTGAGAAGGGGGGTTGCCTTTTCCTGTCAGGGATATGAAACTTTCCCTCAGGCTTGGCTGGCTCTGAATTCACACTTTCCTGCCCCTCTGCCAGAAAGTGGCAAAAAACCACAGAGGTAGGGGTGAGGGGGGCGGATCAGGAATGTGCAAGGAATACATTGCAGTACTTTCCATCATTTCACAAAACTTTGCGCCTCTCATGAGTGGAGTTAAAGTTCAGAGAGGCTTAGTGTTGCTCCTGGAGCAGGGGCCAGGGGTCCTTTCACACCATTTCAATTGCCATGGAAATATCTGGTAGAGTTTTGGGGCTTGTAGATTGGAGAGGCACCAGCTCTCTCTGGTTGAGAGCTCTAAATACTCCTCTGCAAATTGCAAATCCCGGGTTTGCACAGGATGCAGCCATGGCAGTTAAAAGTGGGATTGTAGTGCTATAATTGGCTACGGTGAAAATGTCCCAAGTGGTCTCATTTAGGCTTCTCTGTGGGAAGAGAGTAGGTTGAAATCTTCAGGAGTGCTTAGCGGTAGAGCACCTGTCTTGTAATTCAAAAACCACACAATCAACCTCCAGAATTAGCCTTTCCCAATCTGTCGCTTTCCAGTGGTGTTGGACTACAGATGCAGAAATGATGGAAATGGTAGTCCAGTACTTCTGGAGGCAACTGGGTTGCAGATGATAGTTTCAAGCCGGAGAGCTATTACAGAGATGCTCTTATCCTGGAACTGGGTTTCTTCCTGCCATCTGATTGGACTCCATGTAGAGCAGTGTTTCTCAACCTGGGGGTCGGGACTCCTGGGGGGAGGTTGCGAGGGGGTGTCAGAGGGGTCACCAAAGAACATCAGAAAACACAGTATTTTCTGTTGGTCATGGGGGTTCTGTGTGGGAAGTTTTGCCCAATTCTAACGTTTGTGGGGTTCAGAATATTCTTTGATTGTAGGTGAACTATAAATCCTTGCAACTACAACTCCCAAATGTAAAGGTCTATTTCCCCCAAACTCAACCAGTGTTCACATTTGGGTGCATTGAGTATGTGTGCCAAGTTTGGTCCAGATCCATCATTATTTGAGTCCACAGTGTTGTAAGTGAACTACAACTCCAAAACTCAAGATCAATGCCCACCAAACTCTTCCAATATATTCTGTTGCTCATGGGAGTTCTGTGTGGGAAGTTTTGCTCAGTTCTATCGTTTGTGGGGTTCAGAATATTCTTTGATTGTAGGTTAACTATAAATCCCAGCAACTACAACTTTCAAATGTCAAAGTCTTATTTTCTCCCAAACTCCACCAGTGTTCACATTTGGGCATATTGAGTGTTCGTGCCAAGTTTGGTCCAGATCCATCATTGTTTGAGTGCACAGTGCTCTCTGGATGTAGGTGAACTATAAATCCAAAACTCAAACCCGCCAAACCCTTCCAATATTTTCTGTTGGTCATGGGAGATCTGTGTACCAAGTTTGGTACATTCCATTGTGGATGGAGTTCAGAATGCGCTTTGATTGTAGGTTAACTATAAATCCTAGCAACTACAACTCCCAAATGACAAAATCAATCTCCCCCAACCCCACCAGTATTCAAATTTGGGCATATTGGGTGTTTGTGCCAAATTTGGTCCAGTGAATGAAATACATCCTGCATATCGGATATTTACATTACGATTCATCACAGTAGCAAAATTACAGTTATGATGTAGCAACGAAAATAATGTTATAATTGGGGGTCATCACCACATGAGGAACTGTATTAAGGGGTCATGGCATCAGGAAGGTTGAGAACCACTGATGTAGATGAACTTTTAATTTCTCCAAATGTTTCGGAGCTGAGCACATGGTGGAGTGTTCTCCCCACTGTCGTTTTGAAACCTTAATGAACCCTTATGTGTTTGGGACTCAGAGAAAGAATTCATTTGGCTAGGACAGATTTTAGATTCAGCACCATTTATTCCAGCAGGGTCTACCCAAGTCATCTTGCTACCTAAGGTACAGCAAGAAATCTCCACCACTTTTTTGCAAGCTACTATTGAAAGCCAGTCAAATTATTTAGTGACTTGAAGTGTTCACCCCATCAGTAGTATACAATCATGCATTCAAAAATGAACAATTTACTGCCTTCTCGTGACAACTTCAAAGCAGCTTCATGGGGCCCTATTTGGGAGGGATATCCTCTTCTCTAAACTGTCCTTGACGTTTGTGTATGTAAATTGATGAAGGAAATACAGAAAAAAAAGAAAAAGAAGCCAGTGGTACAAATATGTCAATTTTAAGAGACTGCAGTCTTTCGTGTGTGTGTGTGTATGTGTGTAGTAGAGCCAGGATAAAAGCCAAGGGTATGAAAGACTGCAGTCTCTTAAAATTGACATATATATGATATATATATGGACAGCTTTACTTGGAAATATAATTCCCCAGCTACCTACAAAACAGGCATACATATTTCCAAACTGTAAATCTGTGTAGTTTTCAGTGTGTGCTGCTTACAATCAAGTTGTAATCTGACTCTGTGGTGTTTGCCGAAGGTTCAAAAATAAAGCAAAATGAAATAATTTGCAAAGTCATTTGATCTGGATCTTCGCGACAAGGCAAGAGAGCAGGGCTCCAAACCCAGGAGCAGCCAAAAACAACATTTCAAAATGGTATTCCAGAATTTGGTTAGAATTCGATGCAACTGGTAGGCACTTTCCAAAAAGTTCTTCTTGCGTTTTTTTCTTTCTTTCTTTATTAGGTACGATTGAAAGCTTTAGCACAATGGCTGCTTCTTACTGTTGGCCACCTTCCCTTTGAGTCTCTCTCTCTTGGCCCCCCTATTTCCTTTGCTGGGTGGTGCTGCGGAAGGAATGAGCTCACAGCCGCTAATGTATTCCAGATGGAGCCTCGGGCTGCTCCGTTCTCAGGCCTTGGCACTCTCCCAAATGCTTTCTTTCTCGCCGCCCCCTTGTGCCCCCTGTTCCTTTAACACATTGGCCGATCTGTGCATGCATTGTGCCCTTTCCACAAGTCCCCATCTTGGGGCAACTTCCTCACTGCTCTGTCCCATTTAGCATGCCATGAGGGGGCAACCTCTAACAATGATACATGATGAACCCATAGCTGCTTTAGGTCAGGGCTTCTTCAACTTAAAACTCACGACCCCTTTCCATCCAAGAAATTTTTATGTGACTCCAGGTGTATAGCTATAAAAAATAAAACATTAATGGAAAATAAATCAGCATTTGCAAGGCTCACTGTAAAGGCTGTTTTTCATTTTTGTGGAGTACAGCTGAAGCATTTTCTGCAGAGTCCATTGTCAACACGGCATGTTATTGCTAACACATTTGTGTAAATGGGTAGCGTTCAGAAACCTTTTACTGTTGCCAATTTTTCTGTAATCCCAACATTTTTTTTTCATGTCAGGAGTGACTTGAGAAACTGCAAGTCTTTTCTGGTGTGAGGGAATTTGCCATCTGCAAGGACGTTGCCCAGGGGATGCCCAAATGTTTTTGATGTTTTACCATCCTTGTAGGAGGCTTCTCTCATGCCCACACATGAGGAGCTGGAGCTGATAGGGGGAGCTCAACCTGCTTTCTCCAGATTCAAACCTCCGGTCTGTCAGTCATCAGTCCTGCCAGCACAAGAGTTTAACCCATTGCACCACCGGGGGCTCCTGGCTTGCATCCAACATTGAACTAAGGGGACATCATTTGGGATCAGGGCCTACAATTTAAGAAACTGTTCTCTAGGTAACCAGAATGGCCCAACTCTGCAGAGTGAGAGAAAATGGAAAATGGTCAAGAACAAGAGGCACTAGCACAGCATTATAAGTTTGGAACGAAGGGCGGAAAGCACAAGAAATGATGTTGCACCTCTCATGAGGGTTTTTGTGTGTGCCAGAAACGACTTGAGAAACTGCAAGTCACTTCTGGTGTGAAAGAACTGGCTGTCTGCAAGGACGTTGCCCAGGGGACACCCAGATGTTTTACCATCCTGTGGGAGCCTTCTCTCATGTCCCCGCATGGGAAGCAGGAGCTAACAGGAGGGAGCTCACCCCATCTCACAGATTCGAATCACTGACCTTAAGGTCATCAGTTGAGCCAGCACAAGAGTATAACCCATTGCGCCACCATGGCTCTTTAGGACCATGGGATTACACCAATACAAGTGAGGGACACTAAGAGTACAGTGATTGTTCTAAAATACTTAATGTTGCAGATATTGGCATGAGTTCTTTTGAGTCAAAATGAGCACTGCAAGTGTAGGGAGTGTAGGATTTGCCTGTAAAAGGTATTCTTGGATTCTAATGCTCATCACCCCATTCCATAGAATCGTAGAGTTGGAAGAGACCCCAAGGACCATCCAGTCTAACCCCCTGCCATGCAGGAAAGGCACAATCAAAGCACCCTCAAGATGACCATCCAGCCTCTGCTTAAAAATCTTTGGAGTCCACCACATTTTGAGGCAATGAATTCTACAGTCAAACAGCTCTTGCTATCAGGAAGTCCTTCCTAATGTTTAGTTGGCATCTCTTTTTCCTGCTTTCCAAATACCTTTTCTTTGCTGTATTTTGCAGGAACCTGAACCAGTGGAGGAATGCGTCCAGAGCACGCTGGCTGCCTTGTACCCCCCTTTCGAAGCCACTGCCCCCACCCTGTTGAGCCAGGTTTTCGAAGTGCTGGAGCGGACGTACCAACACGACGCCCTGCGCTACACCCTTGACTTCCTCGTCCCTGCCAAGCACATCCTGGCTCGCATCCAAAGTGAAGCCTGTGTGAGCTGCTGCCTCGGTTTGCCTCTCTTTTCGTTGGGAGTAGCACTTGAGTGAGAAGTCTAGCTCACTGTCGCAGGGAGCAATGAAAGCCCTCAATGGGGCTTTTTTGGAATCTCAAAACAGGTTTAAACTGATTTAAATGAAGGGCAGGAGGCATTTATATGTCTCCCATATGTCTTGAACTTCAGCTCCCAGTAGCCCCAGCCAGTGTGGGGATGTGGAAGTTGTAATCCAAAACATCTGGGTTTCCTTCTATGATCTAAAGCAGATATGGAGAGCCTGTGGCCTTACAGATTTTGTTGGAAGATGCATGTTACCATCGTTCCTCTATTTCAGGCATGGATAATGTGGCTAGGGACAATGGGAGAATGTTATAGTCCATCACCATCTGGAAAGCAGCAGGTTCCCCTCCCCACACGAAAGCAGACTTTTTCTTTAACACGGAAATTCAGTTCTAGAGCGTGGCTGACTCTTAACTTCATCCTGTTTCCCATAAACCTTTCCCAACAATAACTTCAAGGCCCTGGCTGGCAAAAAAGTGTTGATAGATATGTCGTTATTTCCCTCACTCTGTGTTGTTTGTATTGTTTTCAAAGCCGTTTGAAATATTCATCCAAAAAATGGGCTCCCTATACTCCACCCAGCCACTGCCACATGTAATTTGTAGTACGTTTTATTGATTAGCCCATTGACTGTATCAAAACATTTGACAAACACATACTCATACAGCATACAACCCACAGTACAACATAAAGAAGCTGTTAGCAAGGTCTCGATCCAGATCAGATATCTACATCACCTCTACAGTTTACCCCAATCGACTCTAAATATCCAGTTCTCAGCTGTGTTGCTTTAAATAGAAAAAGGGCCATTTTATATGTTATTTTAGCATTCTGGCCAGCCATTAAAAATGTAGTTCTAATATACTAATCCCAGTGTGTTTTTTATATACAGTGTTCCCTTGCTACTTCGCAGTTCACTTTTCGTGGACTCGCTGTTATGATTGGCTGCCTGGGAGAGAGGCAGCCAATCATAAAAAAGAAAGAGAGCAGATACAAAGCAATATGTAAATCATGGCCTATAGCCCCTTCCTTATAGCTAGCAAAAAAATGCGATATATATATCTTCCCTACTTCGCAGATTTTCACTTTTTGTGGGTGGTCCTGGAACATAACACCCACAATAAGTGAGGGAACACTCTCTCTTTCTTGTACAAGTTACAACTAAACAGTACACGTGTGATATCTTATACCTCTGATGCTCTACAGATCCAAAATCTATTGTCGAAGGCTTTCATGGGTTGTTGTGTGTTTTCCGGGCTGTATGGCCATGTTCCAGAAGCATTCTCTCCTGACGTTTTGCCTGCATCTACTTCAACTGGAGCAGTCAGCCATAGCAGAGCACTTGATGAACCAACCTGGACACAGCATATTATTTGAGAACACAGAACTGCTGGACCACTCTAACAACTGCCATGTCAGACTACACAGAAAGGCTACTGAAATCCACAAGCATGTGGACAATTTCAACAGAAAGGAAGAAACTATGAAAATGAACAAAATCTGGCTACAGTATTAAAAAACTCTAAAATCATAACAGTAAATAAAGAACACTCAAAACAGGGGAACTCCAGACAAGAAACAATCAGGGACAGCTAATCACCTCTCAACAAAGAATTCCCCCAGGCAGTAAGAAGCCACGCCTGAAATTGCTAGGCCATTAAATGCTAAGCAAGGTGGCCAGTGGTAACATTCACACCTATCTCAAACAGACAAGAGTTCTTTCTCCCACCCTGGACATTCCAGAGATATATAAACCCAATTTTCCTAGTTTCCAACAGACCTCACAACCTCGGAGGATGCCTGCCATAGATGCAGGTGAAATGTCAGAGGAGAATGCTTCTGGAACATGGCCATACAGCCCAGAAAACACACAGCACCCCAGATCCAAAATAATTCATTATATGGAACTTGGTTAAACGTACCATGTTTGACCACTGTAATTTGTATGCATTTCATAACTGTGCCACACAAAGGCTGAAACTGAGTGCAGTAGTTCTCATCCTAAACACCTCAGCCTTTGTGTATAAAGCAAAGCATTTTAAGTCTGTAAGATGGTGAAAGTGTGCTTAAAAGTTAAGTAGCTGATGCAATTCCTCGAGCCAAGAATGAAGAGACAATCAGCATTTCTCTTGGCCAGAGTATGACTTTTTACCCCTCTACAAAGCTGGCAGAAGTGGAACATATGAGGCAAAATAAACAAATAAACACAAATGTGCATGTTTTATACAGGTCACTGATTCCTTGGTACAGTTTCCCAGTTCTGTGTGTCATTCTGCCTCTCCTCTTTCTGTCTCTGTCTCCCTCCTCTTCAGGCCCAGTACAGTGGCTTTGTGTTTTGCCATGAAGGTTGGCCACTCTGCCTTCGTGAGAAAATCCTGGTGCAGCTAGGCTCCCTCCCCTGGCAACGCCTTTGCCCTGGAGACTTCTACCTGCAAGTGGTGCCTCACCGGGAGTGTGCCCCACGCCTGGTCCTGAAGTGCCTATCTCCAGAGGGCCACCGTGGGGTTCAGGAGCTGCCGGTGTCCCCTGACTCCTACCCGTTCCTTTTCACCGTCGAGTGGCTCAACGGCATCAACAAGGAACGGCGGGTGGGACGCCTAGAGCGTTGCCTGTTGGCGGCAGGGGAAAAAGTGCTGAGCCTTCCCTGGCCAGAATTAGTGTACCCCCAGTTTGTGCACAAAGATGGATTCATCGTGGGTCAGCGCTGCCCTGTAGATTTGTCTCCAGAAGTGTTGGGAGCACGGAGTCCTGGGGACGGACGCCATTCTGGGGGAGAGAATCGGGAATCTGAGGGAGAATACGTTCACCTCTTAGAAGTCAGTCCTACTTTACACCAAGTACCCCGGATCCCAAAGCCTTGTGGTACTCAGATCCAGACCATGCCTGCCCGCAAGGGACACAGCAAGAGCCGGAACAGGCGCCACCGAGCCTGGCTTCACCATAAGTCTGGGTGCGGGGAAAATTTTGCCTTACGCCAGGTTGCCAAAGCCCAGGAAGCAGAGAAATCTAGCCAAGAAAGCAGCACATTGGGTGACAGGATTGATCAAATGAAAGGTGGAGGTCTAAGCCTGGCTTTGGGTCATATGTCAGAAACATCTAAGATGGTGGGGAGTGTGAGTCCTGGTCAGCCGGAGCAAAACCAGAGTCTTCATACCAATAAGGCACAACCTAACGTCTTTGGGGGTGCTACCAATACCACTGAGCTTGGGAAAGCAGGATCTGGCCATCAAAATCCAGTTCATTCCAGAGAGCAGAACATTGAGAACCAGTCTCCAGTCATGGCCACACCAAAACGTGCTGCCAAGGGAAACCGAAGGAAAAAAAAGGGAGCTGGGAGAGGAGCTGGTGGTGGCAGAACTAAACAAGGAGGTGATTTGACTAGCAAAGAAGCAACAGCTTCTGTTGATGCAAAAGAAGCAAAGAAGGAAGTAGTCTGCATTAGTCCAAAAGAACAGGATTCTGGGAAAAGAGAAGAAAATGTTAGTACCATAGAACAAGCTGTTGGTACTGAAGAAGGCTGTGTTGATGTTGTTGATTGTAATGTTCCCCCAGAGAGAAATGATAATGCTGAAGACAAGAGAGTTGATGCTGGAGAGGAGGGTGCTGGCCCAAGAGAGTGCAGTGTTGGCAGCAGAGAACCAGAGAGTGTTATGGAAAAATGTTCTGCTGGTATGGAAGATAGTACTGCCAACACCGAAGACAGAACTGTCATCCAAGAAGGCCAAGGCCTTAGCACTGAAGAGGTGGCTACTGCAATTGATCCTGGTCAACCAAGTGTTGACGCAGCAAAGCAAGACCTTGACACCATAGAACAAGAAGCGGACAATTGTGAAGGACATTGTTTGGTAGAAGAGGATCCCATCGTTGGCACTAATGAATCCAAGCTTGCTACATTGCCAAAGGAGAATGAGCCAAGTATTGATGGGAAAGAGGAACCCCTGAGCGTAGAAGCTGATCCGAGGCCAGAGAAAACAGAGAATTCCTCTCCGTCCAGAGCGCATCTTGGGCAGTCCGTGAACTGGGCACTTCTGGAATCTGGTATCTTTGCTTTAACAGGTAAGTCAGTATCAGGGTGCTTCTGGATAGAAGGAAATTTCTTGGTAGGACTATCAGCTGGCTGGTTTTGCTTTGTTTGAAGTCCCTGGAAAGAATACCGAGAAAAACAAATTATCTAATGCAGAAGTGGGCAACACGTGGATTGCACTTGGCATCCCAAGTGCTTGTCAATATTGCTTCCAATGCTGCAAAATATGAATGATGCAGTGGCAAAAAAGCTGATGTTTTCTTTAAAAACGGAGTGATAGGGGAAATAAGCAGTTTGTTTTAAAGCAGAATCACACTTTAAAAAACATCTCAAGAAGGTGATTCTGCTTAAAATAAAGCATATGACCCACAAATTATGATTTCTATTTGCTTATCCAGACATTTTAAATTCACGAATGAATCCACGCAGTGCTGCTATGAATGTTTTTGTCTGTTCGTTGTTCTAATCAGATATAGATCTGTTAGTATGTTAAAATTATTACACCTCTTAAGTGATCCTTTTGCCATGTGATGGGTGGAGTGCAACTAATTAATTGTATAGCTTAAATATATTAATTGTAGGCATGTGTTGTTTAGCTTGGCCAATAGCAAAGTTGCATCCCTCAGCCTGGCTTTCTGCAAAAGGAAACTCCTTGGGCTGCCTGTCCTTTAACCAACATTTTTGCCATCTTACTAAACATCACGAGGTCTGAGCTAAACAAGCCGCCTTGCTCGCCACAACACAACCGTTTGCAAAAACCGCTCCCTCACCCGAAGCCACAAGACACAACCCGGAATAACACTAGAGCCGTGATCATGTTACCAAAAGCTTGTGGCTTGCAAAATGGGAGGCCGGCTGTCCTGAGGGGGTATTGGCTAAATGGAAACATAAATGAAGGCATTGCTAAAAAGGAACAAACGTGGGGGAGGCAGGGTAGAGAATACAGCGAATGAATTGTGGAGAACTTAAAAGGCAGTCCAGGCCACCAGCCAGGACAAAAGGAAGTTCTGCTTTCCACAACACAATTCTTTAGGATCCCTCTTCAGCAAAACAATTGCCCTAACATTCTTTATTATGGTGTAACAACACTTCACCCAGACTGATGCTCCAGGAAAGTTTTGAAACAATGCACAAAAGATTGGTACATTCTGCCAGTTGTTCACAGTCATTGGAGATGTAGTGCTCCTGAACTTAGACCTTTTGTTCAGCCAGCTGGCTAAGGTTCACAAATTCACATAGTGTGGAAATGATAACATTTTGATACCACTTCAAATACTGTGACTACATGAAATCATGGGGTGGGTTTTGCATTTTAGTGAGGGGCAATTAGGGTCCGCGGTGGTGCAGGGGGTTAACCAGCTAAGTTGCAGAACTTGCTGAATGTAGTGTTGGAAGGTTGGTGGTTTCAATCCATGGGACAGGGTGAGTTCCCATTGGGTTGTTGTAGGTTTTTTCGGGCTATATGGCCATGGTCTAGAAGCATTCTCTCCTGACGTTTCGCCTGCATCTATGGCAAGCATCCTCAGAGGTAGTGAGGTCTTTTGGAACTAGGAAAAAGGGTTTATATATCTGTGGAATGACCAGGGTGGGACAAAGGACTCTTGTCTGCTGGAGCTAGGTGTGAATGTTTCAACTGACCACCTTGATTAGCATATAATGGCCTGGCAGTGCCTGGAGCAAACTTTTGTTGAGAGGTGATTAGATGTGCTTGTTTGTTTCCTCTCTGTTGTTGTGCTGTTGTAATTTTAGAGTTTTTTTAATACTGGTAGCCATACTTTGTTCATTTTCATGGTTTTCTCCTTTCTGTTGAAATTGTCCACATGCTTGTGTATTTCAATGAGTTCCCATTGTTTGCCCCAGCTTCTGCCAGCCTTACAGTTTGAAAACAGGCAAATGTGAGTCAATCAATAGGTACCGCTTTGGCGGGAAGGTAACCACACTCCATGCAGTCATGCTGGCCACATTACCTTGGAGGTGTCTACAGACAACTCTGGCTCTTCGGCTTAGAAATGGAGATGAGCACTACCCCCCAGAGTTGACTAGACTTAATGTTAAGGGGAAATATTTACCTTTACTAATTAAAATTGATCACAGGTATACAATAGAATTGGAAGGACAATAGTTTTATACAAGCTGACAATGATTCCTCAGGGCATAAAACCTCAGTTGGCTGTCATTACCCAAGGTGCTTAACAGCTAACTTCTTTTGACATATATAAGAATTGATCTCGGAAGTAATCTCCCCCAGCTCTGGCATTAAAGTAGCAATAATAACAAAAGAAATGATTTAAAATTTGCTGTCCTTTAGTGACATCTTCTGAAAACAGTTGCCTGAGGCAGCCACTTCCCATTACCTAATAGGTGATCCAGTCCTTCATTGTCTCTGGCTGTTGTGGGGAATGACCACTGTTTGACCTATTTTCCATATGTTTAGTCTCCTTTAAGTGGCATCTAGGCTGGACAACAGGGGCAGGATACTGGTTTTCTTTTCAGGTGAGATGCTAGTGACCTTTCGGGCTTAATCCAACATTTTCATCTCTTGCAGAATGGGTCCTTCTCAAATTTAAGGATGTTTTCCACCAGTAGAAGACTTTATCAGAGAATAGAAACCTTTGAATTCCGTCCTAGAAATCACATTGTGATATTCCAATTAGAATGGAAAGATCTTTTGGGATCAAATTGCACAGTGTATCTATATAGAATGGTTGCAGAGCAAAAGAGTCTCATGATAGCGGTGCTATGTCACTATGTGGATGTGTATTTATAAATAGGGTGAGGAATATAGTTTATGTCAAGTGCCACATTGCTTTGCATAGTTTTTCTTGCATGCCTATGGAGGGTGGGTCTAGAGCCAAAAGTAAGTATTCTCTCTTATTATTTTACTTCTTTCTTTTTCTGTCATCCTCTTTCTTCTCTCTCTCTCAGTGTTTTGATCCTCATTGCAAATCCTATGACTCTATAGCAGTGATTCTCAACCTGGAGTCTCCAGTTTGTTTGTTTTTTTGCCTTCAACTCCCAGAAATCCTAACAGCTGGTCAACTGGCTGGGATTTCTGGGAGAACCACTGCTCTATAGGATGTGACCATGGCGATTATAGAGGAATCATAGATCTATAATTTGTGTAGTGTAAACACGCCTCAGATTTATAATTATTATCCAGCCATCAACATGTCTGTTCTCCTGTAAACCTAGAGAAGTATTTTGGATTTCCCAGGTAGACTAGAGAAATGAATGGCAAAATATAATTTTATTAGTGCAGGAGCCAAAGTTCTGTATTTTATGTTTGTTGCTAGAGTAAATGGTAGGAATTTGTAGGAAATGGAATGTTTGATTTGGAGGGAAATTGCATTTCTTTTTCCAACACTGAATGGGAACACAACCCTGAGAAGATGGAATACTGGCTTTTTGAAATGGAGAATGAGCTCAGGAATTTTTCCTGTAATAATATTTTTTTCTAAATGTCTGTTTTGCTTTAATAGATGGAAATGATTTTCAGACATTGGTGGCTTGTGGTTGCCTCATTCCTATCCTACATATTTCAGATGGTATGCACACACGAATCTAGATGGACAAATAAAAATAGTAGCGTGTGAGCAGTGGACCCTCTGAGTTTACTTGATTGGTTTCAATCCAGTTTTGTATTTTGGAACATTTTCTAGGATGTTTCCTATTATTCTGTAGTGTAACTGATTTTATTTTTGTACACTCTATTTTTATTCTGTTCCATCTATACCTAGTAACAGATGAAACTCCAGAAACTACGCCTCTCATCCTCTGACTATTTTAATGCTTCCTGCATGACATGCTAAGAATATCCTTTGATATGCCAGAAGGTGTGGAATGTGTGGTCCTCCTTGTGTTGTAGGACTCCAACTCCCATCAATCCAATTCATAGGGACGTTGGGCAGGGATGATGGGTGAATCAGCTGTGCCAAAGTTTACACTATCACACCATACTCCTTTTCTCACAGAATGCAGGACTATGGGAGTTATAGTATTTGAACTTTCTCGGCTGAATAGAAGGTCATAAACGGAGACATTTCTTGTTGTTTATTCATTCAGTTGCTTCCAACTCTTTGTGACCTCATAGACCAGCCCACACCAGAGCTCCCTGTCGGCCGTGGCTACCCTCAGCTCCTTCAGAGTCAATCCAGTCACTTCAAGGACTCCATCCATCCATCTTTCCTTTGGTCGGCCCTTCTTCTTCCTTCCATTTTCCCCAGCATCATTATCTTCTCTGAGCTTTCCTTTCTTCTCATTATGTGACCAAAGTACGTACTTCAACTTTGTCTCTAATATCTTTCCCTTCAGTGAGCAGTCAGGCTTTATTTCCTGGAGTATGGACTGGTTGGATCTTCTTGCGGCCCAAGGCACTCTCAGAATTTTCCTCCAGCACCACAGTTCAAAAGAATCTATCTTCACTTTGCCTTCCATATGGCCCAGCTCTCACATCCATACCATTGCTTTAACTTTGTGGATCTTCGCTGCCAGTGTGATGTTGCTCTTCTCCCAAGAAGTAAACGACTTCTGGTTTCTTCTGACATTTCTATATATACAAATTTGACTTTTGGACTTGGTTTCCAAATTTTGTGTTAGTACCATAATAGAGGTTGGAAGTCAGGCAGTAACGTTTTGTAATTTGATGGCCCATCTCAAACAAACAAGGAATGATGTACTGCTATTTTGTGTGGCAAATGTCATCATGCAGTTCTCTTCAGTAATTTGCAATGACTTGGAGCATTATAGGCAAACAACTACAGTCAATCTAAAAGAATCTACATTGTAGACTCACAGAGGTGGAAGAGAACATAAGAGCCGTTCAATCCAAACTCCTGCAATCCAGGGATACACAATCTGCCTGCAGTCAGAATTTCTCTTTTTGTTATGTTCCTTCAGGTCATTTCTGATTTGTGGCAATAATAATAATAATAATAATAATAATAATAATCATCATCATCATCATCAGTGTAATCTCCTTGGGGAGAGAGTTCCAGAGCCGGGGGGCCGCCACCGAAAAGGCCTTCTCCCTCGTCTCCACCAGCTGTGCTTGAGACGGGTGGGACTGAGAGAAGGGCCTCACTGAAAGATCTTAGGTTGGTAGGGGATATATATCATGGAATTTTCTTGGCAGGATTTGTTCAAAGACAGTTTACTTTTGCTTTCTTCAGAGGCTGAGAATGACAGTATGACTTGACCAAGGTTAGCCCATGTGTTTCCATGACCAAGTAGAGATTTGAACCTTAGTCTTCCAGTCTATACTCAAACCAGTACCATATTGGTGCTCTAACTTATGGTACTAGGTTGAAAACCATCATAGGGATTGATTGATTGATTGATTGGACTTGTATATACCTCTCAATCCACAAGAGCTGCTGCAGCAAAGTACAGGGAAGAAAAGCATTTGAGACATGAACCATTTGAGTATGGTTCTGTCATCACATCCCTTTGGTGGAAGCATAATATGCATGAACAACTTCAGTGGCAGGTGAGCTCTGTGACTCTGGAAGTTTCATTTAGGCCAGTATGGGATAGAATCATGTCTATGATGTGCAAGTGAGCTTTGGGTTTTTGAGTGGCACCTGCTATGAATGGTGCTGAAGAGCTCTTTTAGGCAGAAAGCTGTAGAGCTATAACTCATGATTTCCTTGTTTTTCACCCATACAGGAGGAATGGACAAGGCAGGACACTCCATGTTGACAATAGTGCCACAGCCTCTTCAAGATGAGCTGCCTTTAGGACAAGAAGACCTTGTCAATACCTTGAGATATATGCACTCGCTTCTCAGGTAAGCTATCATTAGATGGAGTTATTTCAGAGAGTAGCAGAGACTGGACTTATCCATGTTAGCCTTATCCCCACAACAAGGGTGGCCAACTACAGAAGAGGCAGAGGACTTTTTTCCTTACATCCCCCACAATCAGACTGCACCATTGTATTTTGTGGGGAGTTTGTCAGTTTTTGGAGCCACTCTGGGTTCCATAAGATTGTATGCAGTTCATAGGTTCCACGTTGCCCATCCTGGTCTGCAATATTCCCCTTGAGCCAAGTAGGACTACTCCCAAGATGTGATGTAGCATGAATTAAAGGACAAGATGGTACCACTTCCTTCCCACATTTATGTACACAAGCTGTTTGGAATGACAGTTGGATCTTGTTTTTGATATTGGTAACAATACAGGGTTCTTAAGGGTCACAAGACAGGCTGAATGGTCCATATAGCTCTGTCCCGTACTACTTCACTGCTACTCCTTGCTTCAGAGCTCCTTCCTTCTTATGCAGTCGCCTCACTCTGCCTTATGTTAGGCCTGATCTTGGTAGCTTCAAGCCACTAGTTTGGGTTGGTTGCTAATCCCTTGTTACAGGCAGTTGACTGAAGGAGTTAATGTTGGTAAGTGAAGATTCAGTATTACTCTACATCAGTAGGTCTCAGCCTGTGGACCCCCAGGTTTTTGGCCTACAACTCCCAGAAATCCCAGCTAGTTTACCAGTTGTTAGGATTTCTGGGAGCTGAAGGCCAAAATATCTGGGGAACCACAGGTTGAGAACCACTGCTCTACATAACAGTTCTCTTAGACCTCTTCTACACCATCTGATCCCAGATTACCTGCTTTTCCCAGATTATGTGGCACTGGAGACTCATATAATCCAATTCAAAGCAGATAATCTGGGATCAGAACCTGGGATATAGAGTACTGTAGATCCAACCTTATTCCACTTTAACTGCCCTGTTTAGTAGTTTGTTGAGGCTATAATGCTATCTGGCTGAAAAATTTAAATAGCCCCTCTAAGCTGCAACTTCTAGGAATCCATAGGATGGATCCATGGCAGTTAAAGTGGAATAATAGTGCTAACATTGTGTGATTTGACTGTCCCTACATTGACTTTTGTATGTAGAATGGAAGCCAGTGGTTGGTTCACACTTGCCTCAAACAGACAACAGTTCTTTCTCCCACCCTGGACATTTCACAGATATATAAACCCCACTTGTCTAGTCTCCAACAAACCATAGTAACCTAGTGATGGTTGTCAACTTGTCCTTTATGTAAGATAAGCACAGGTCCATCTCAGGTAGCATAAATTTACAGGGCTAAATCAGTTCTGTAAACATCTGTCCCAAGAGCTTCCCAGGATGATCCTGCAGGAAATTTGTTATATCAGCCTCTTGGCAGTAACAGCTGTGCTAAATGCAAAAGCCAGCTTCAGGATTTCCTTCCAAAGAATCCTGAAATAATTCACTGAGGCAGGTGGAAAATTCAGGAAATTCTCCTCATAAAACCATAGCTCTTAAGGACACTGCTCTGGGAAACCATTAACAAATTGGCTTGAAATCAGTTTTTTTAAATGAATGGCTACTTTGAGTCAGGAGATTAAAAGTGTGTTTGAGACACTATAGCAATAATAGTTAACAGAATGAGTCATGGGTTGAAAAGGGCCCCCTTTGCCATAGCTGTGAATTCATTTGGTAATTTTAAGCAAGCAATTTTAACTCCCTAATCTATAATACAGAAATAATAACACCAACCTGTAGGGTTGTTTTAAGTTTGCAGAAATGGCACATGTAAACACATTGGAAACTTAGGGACCTAATCCTATATTTACAGTTATGTAATTAGTCACTCTCATTACATTTATATGTCCAGTTATAATGGCTTCCCAATTGAGCAATTCTTTAATTTTGCTAATAACATATTTTTTCTGTATTCTGTGTGTATCCAAATTGGTACCACAGAAAGAGGGAGAGAGGAAACACACATACATGCCAACATTAGCCCAGTTTCTCCATTTATAGAATGAGTACAGGTGTGCTATAATACTGGATATATTTTTGTATAAATCGACTTCATGTATAAGTTGATGGCAGGTTTTGAGGTCAAAATTAGGGATTTTGATTTGACCCATGGATTAGTCAAGCCAGGTTTTTGGGGTTAGATTTTTAGTGAAATTTCTAGATTTATACATGAGTATATACAGTAATTCGCAGTGCTTACAGAAAGTACCATGGTGTTCTTAGCTCAGGGTTTCTCAACGTGGGGTTGGGTTGCAAGGGGGTGTCAGAGGGGTCGCCAAAGGCCACCAGAAAACACAGTGTTTTCTGTAAGTCATGGGCGTCCTATGTGGAAAGTTTGGCCCAATTCTATTGTTGGTGGAGTTCAGAATGCTCTTTGATTGTAGGTGAACTATAAATACCAGCAACTACAACTCCCAAATGTCAAAGCCTTATTCCTCAAACTCTACCAAGGTTCACACCTGGGTATATTGAGTATTTGTGCCAAGTTTGGTCCAGATCCGTCATTGTTTGAGTCCACAGTGCTCTCTGGATCTAGATGAACTACAACTCCCAAACTCAAGGTTGATGCCCACCAAACACTTCCAGAATTTTCTGTTGTGCCTGTGTGCCAAGTTTGGTTTAATTCCATCATTGGTGAACTATAAATCCCTTCAATTACAACTCCCAAATGACAAAATCAATAGCTCCTTCCCAACCCCACCAGTATTCAAACTTGGGTGTATAGGGTATTTTTGCCAAATTTCGTCCAGTGAATGAAAGTGAATCCTGCACTAGATGACGATTCATAACCATAGCAAAATTACAGTTACAGCAATGAAAATAATTTCATGGTTGGGGGTCACCACAACCTGAGGAACTGTATTAAGGGGTCATGGCATTAGGGAGGTTGAGATTCACTGTCTTAGCTGGTCTTATGTGTGGAATATGGTCTTCAGTTCCCATATGCTGGCCCAGTTGTCAGGTAAATTTCCCTAGTGGTAAGAACATCATCCTAATTCTACCAGTTTCTCTTTTCACATCTTCTAGGCAAGAGCTGAAGGCCCTGGGGATGACAGTGCTGTTAGACTTGAGCCAGGTGGACGACTGGGCTTTCCACGCCCCTGTGCTACTGCCAGCCTTACATGCATTCCAGGTACCATCTTGACTTAACTTCAGGAGCTGGCTTGCCATGTCTTAAAATGTTCTACCCTTGAACTTTGCTTGTGACTTCCTTAAAATATTGTCTGTGAAAAACACTTCATTTTTATAAAATAAAACCAGCCAACCCCCTCACCAACCTGTAGTAATTTTGGATTGACTTCATAATGAAAGAGTACAAAGAGGGTCAGGGGAATAAGAGTAAACATGCTGTCTTGGCATCTCATGTCCAGGAAACTTGTGATGTGTAATGAGGAGAAACAATCTTCTCATTGTTATAATTAAAAATGCAGTTGCATTTCTCTCCTGCACACACCATTAAAGTGATACAGGTCCATTATCCCTTATCTGAAATGCTTGGGACCACAAGTCTTTGGGATTTTTTCAGATTTTGGAATACTTGCATATACATATACAGTACAAGCAGTTGCCAGGTTATGAACAAGATAGATTATGTGAGTTTGTTCAGAACATACACATTTTAAGTGTAACTCCAACCTACATGTGTGTATGTATGTATGTATATGTATGTATGTATGTGTGTGTGTGTATATATATATGTGTGTGTGTGTGTGTGTGTGTATATGTATGTGTGGACATATATATGTGAATGATTTGGATAGGCGAGGGAAAGGTTTCTTTTCATGACAAATGTGACTTTAGAAACCTCAAGTCACTTCTGGTGTGAGAGAATTGGCCCTCTGCAAGGATGTTGCCCAGGGGACGCCCAGATGTTTGATGTTTTACCATCCTGTAGGGGCTTATCCCATATCCCCGCATGGGGAGCTGGTGCTGACAGAGGGAGCTCAACCCGTTCTCCCTGGATTCAAACTGCTGACCTGTCAGTCTGTAGTCCTGCCGGCATAAGGGTTTAACTCTGTGTGCCACCATGGGCTCCTGAGGGTTAACCCCTGTGGTGTTCGTTTTGGTGTTTGTGTCCCTGTTCACTTTCTGTCTCTGTAATAACTGGATTTTGAAAAAAATGGCTTGTTGTGGAAACAAGGATTGGTGATAAAGCTTTAGTGGAGACACATTTTCCCTATAATAACTCTGTCAGGAGTGAATTTGCCTTCCTGGAGATAGATTTCTCTCAATTCCTGTTGTCTCACCCCCGTTCTTAACTCTGAATCATTTGTAAGTCAGATGTTTGTAAGTCAGGAACTATCTGTATCTTGGAGACAAGACCCAAGTCTAAACTTGAAAATTCATTTGTTTCATATAAACCTGTAAACTATATATGTGTGTGATCTGAAGGTATTGTTTTTACAATATTTTAATAATTATGTGTATAAAACAAAGTCTGTTTACATATAAACATGTAAACTATATATGTGTATGATCTGAAGGTATTTTTTTTACAATATTTTAATAATTATGTGCATAAAACAAAATCTGTGTACATTGAACTATCAAAAAACAAATGTGTCAAAATCTTAGCTACCTGTGTGGAGAGTTTTGGGTTGTGGGATTTTTAATAAGGAATGGTCAACCTGTACTGGAATTTATTTTTATATTTTAAAAAACTTCTCTATTTTTCAAATGTGGTCTCGAGAGGTGTGTGTAGTTTCAGACCTGAAAATGAACTATCCTGAAATGAGAGCCTTTTTCTCTTTAGGAGAGTTCTCCACCTCCCATCAGTCACCTGCTAGTGGTCTTGCCACCTGATGACCGTTTTGTTCCCCACAAAGAGGAGCTGGCCTTGGAACCTGCAGTGGTAAGTCCTCTAAAACGTATCATAGTAGCCATATAGTACAAATGGGGTACCCAGTGTTCCAATGAATTAAACTATCCTGGTCCTCCTCCTCTCTGAAAGAATTATGAATACTTAGAAATCTCCTGGAATGTTTCCTAATTTTGGCCTAAGCCTGGTTCATGGCTGAGGTAGGTTCAGAGAATAAATGATGAAGAAGTTGAGGGTGAGTATTGCGTTTAGAGATCAGATGTGTGAACATTAAGTACCTGATATAGTTGTCTTGTTGTACAGGCTGTGCAACTTCTCCCTCTTTCTGAACTGTCTCATCATGTGGCCCTGGACCAGCTGACTAAAACGTTAGGTGGGACCATGCACTATTCACCACTAAAATGGGTTGCAGAGCACCAGGTAAGGGAAACAATTAATTAAATGAGCTCCACAACATTCTCCTCAGGAATCAATCCAATTTGTCTCCAGTGTTTTGTAGGATCCCATGCCCTGGAATTTCCTTTTGCTTCTTACTCCATATTTTTTATATTTTTCCCACAATGTCCAGATAACCCTTTCTTTTCAGACTTCAGCTTTCCCTTGTTACTTATAAGAACTCTACACTCCTGTCCAATTGCGTGTGGGTTCTCCATTAAATTGGAACGGCCCACAAGGTGCTGTAGACATAGAAGCTCTATTAACAGATTGGTGTGAATCCTGCTGGGACAATATGGTTTATCTAAGTGCAATTCTTCATGTACATCCTCACTCTTTATATCTCACCGACCTGGCCCTATCATTAGGCAGATGGAGGTAAATACCTCAGATAATGGGGTGCAGTATGGCATGTTTTCATGAACTCTGTACTCTTCTGCTCAAGGAAAAAATTCTGTATGCCTTGCAACATGGCCTAGTGCTAGTCCACAAGCTATGGACTGCCAGGTCAAAACTAGGAAGAAGCAAGTTGCAGCAAGTAGGAAGAAGTCCTATTCCCTGGACTATTAGGAAAAAATATCTATGGTAATACTTCAGATCAGAAGTCCTGAGAAATACCACCCTAAATAACTCTTAACTCATGGAGTGGTGTGGTGGAGGAGCCTATCTCATCAGTTATTATTCAATAAAATTTAATGTCCTGGTTCAATAGCTTCTGAAAGTAGACTGTGGAAGATGTCTTGTCCTGTGCCTGAGAGAGCAAAATGGCTTGATCTCTGATGCTCACCTCCCTGCCTCTTTCTCTGTTTTCCTGTCCAGGCTCTTGAACAGCTCCAGGAACTCTGCCGTAGTGTCCTGCAGGCTGTGTGTGAGGCCAGTGCCCACCTCAAGGCAGTTGGAACAGCATCCAGTCAGGAGGTAAAGTGTGAAACCTTTCCGGAGGTTATAAAGGCACGATGTTCAAGTCTGCTGCTGGAATCCAGACCTGCTGTAATTCTCCATCTTCAGTTATCTTGGGAAACCTCCTTCAGCTCTATTACTGGTTAGACCAGTGGTGGGATTCACACAAACTTCCAGATGTTGAACTGTAATCCTGGCAGCCATAGTCAGCATAGCCATTGCAGAAGAGTGCTGGGAGTTGCAGTTGAACATCTTGAGTGTTGCATGATGTGCTCCACTGGCTCAATCTTAATCATAGCCATGGAATTGAGCTACTAATTTCAACAGTTTTCTTTTCGTGATAGCTATAAGAAGGGCAGCGAGAACATATTGCCCTGTTCTATTATCAATAATAGAAATGTATCTGTGTTGTTGCATTATTCAGAAAGGGTTGTAAGTTTGTTCACAAAAATGAACTGTTAGTCACTAATGGAAATTTGAATGTTGTATGTAAAGCTTACCCCATAAAAGCTTATTTACTCAGAATCCTTTAACTAGAATGGCCAGTGCAGTCATTGTTTTCCAAAAGGATAACTTTTTCAAGCTCTGATGGAAAATTGCTTCATTTGTGTATGATTTATCCACATCACGCTTGAAACTAGAAGCAGGGCAAATAATTGATCCTTATGATGTATGAACCTAGTATTTATAGATTTTGGTATTAATTTGATTTTTTTTTATGCCTTTATAATTCTCAAGACCTATAGCCTTGGTTATAATCTTCTTGGGCTGCAATGTACAGGTCCTAAAATCTCATAGCCACCATAGTTGGCAAAAAAACCCACCTGCCTAGAGGGAATTCTGGGAGTTGTAGTCTGAACAGTAAGTTTTACCAGCTCGGCGCTAATCCCTGATGTCTCATCACCACAGGAAGTGTCAGCACAGATCACGTTGCACCAAGAGACGATGCGGAAACTGCTCTCTGAGCCGCGTCTTCTGGAGCTTCAACGCCGTGGGGGGTCCTTGTTGGCCCGGCTGCCCCCGCTGGGTCCCTGCAGGTGAGAACTGGGGCTGGGGCCTAGTAATAGTTTCAAATTCTCTTCCTATCCCTCTTGAAATTTTTCAGCTTTTTAGAAGCATGTCATCTTCCAAAGCTGCTGTTTCTTAGCAAAATTATGTCAGTGAAGATAATCACCCCTCAATTTATTTCTAAATCCCACTATACATTTGAGTCCTGCTCATTTAAGTTTCCTAAACATTGAGTCAGTCCTCCAGTGTTACAAAGGCAAGTCCAATATATTTTGGTATTTTAAGCAGAATAGAAACTGCCCTCCCTTGCGCCAGTGTCAAGGTGTACAGTAATGTAGGCTAGTCAAGTTACTTTGATTCACAAGGCAGAAAATTTCACAAGATTCTCCCTTTCTGCAGGACAGTAAAAGTACCACAATAATAGCATGCAACACAATTGTTGTTCTTGGTTAGAAATTTCATTTCCTAATTGGTTCTATCATAAAAACATGGAAAAGGTTTATTAAAGTGCAAAAACTTTGCTTTTGCAGAATATCATATAGCACATTTTGCTATAGTTTTTCAATGAATATCTCATAAGGTCTTAACCAGTTCAACAGTTTGTGACAGTCACAAAAATAAAGTTTTTGGAGTATAACAACTACTTTCAAAGTAAGTACAACACAATTAAACAGGAATAACACTTTCAAACCAGGAAAAGATTTTTTTCCAAACTTCGTTACATAGTGTAATCAGTTGTACAACTTAAGTGTTTGTTGTTCTTTTTTGATACTCAAAATGTGCTGCTTAAAGTCAATGCTTGGAGTGTTAGTTTTGAAAAATAGTTATAATGGACCCTTGGTGTCCACTCGATTTTGCTTCCAGGACACATACACACACACCATGGATACCAGAATATGTGGATGCTCAAGTCCCATTTTATACAATGGCGTAGTAAAATTGTATCCCTTATGCAAAATAGCAAAATCAAACTTTGCTTTTTGGAATTTTTTCTTTTGGAATATTTTCAAATCTTAGAGGGTTGAATCCATTGATATAGAAGTTGTGGATGTGGAGAGCAGATCATAGTTGTTTTAAATTTTTTCCAATAAAAAAGCTTAGAACATTCTTCTCACTTTCTTTTTTCATCCACACCTTTACCTCCCTTCTTATAATGAAATGACAGGATTATGATTTTTTTTCTTTTCCTAGCTAGACAACAACAAAAAGAGGACATTGGGATGCCATTGCAATCATTTGCTTTAGCTTTTTCTTAAGGAACAAAGGTCGAGGTGAGGATTAGGCACATTTCAATTGAACTTGGACCAGGGCCAGTTAATATCTTGGAGCAGTCCCGATACATGTGTTCGAAGCCATTGGGCTGTCAAGGCTAGTGATGAGGAAACTCCTGCCTAATGGTCAGTTGTGATGCTTTTCAGTCCAGCCAATGAAATCCCCAAAGCACAATTAGAACATGAGATTGGATTACGTTTTTATCTAGGAGACGAAATGATTTGTTTTTACTAACTGTTATGGCCTTGATTCATATGTTAATGCTTTTAAATGTTTTAAATGTTTTTATGATGTGATTGGCATTGAATTGTTGCCTTGTGAACCGCCTCAAGTCGCCTGCGGGCTGAGAGGGGCGGAATATAAATATAGCAAATAAATTAATAAAGATAGAACTACTTCTTCATTTTTTTGCAGGCTGTGTTGACTTCAAATTGTGTTTTGACTTACAGTGGCCCCATGGATTTCCCAGAGTTTTCTTAAGCAATGAGTACCCAAGAGGTGGCTTTGCAAGTGCCTTCCCCTGAAATATAGCCTATAGCCTATAGCCTATATAGCCTATTGCACCTGGTATTTGTTGGTGGTCTCCCAATCCATGTATTAACTAGGGCTGATCATACTTGGCTTCCATGATCAGAAAAGATCTGGTCCTTTGAGGGCATTTAGACCCTGTTAGATTTTAACTTCCTCCCCTAGCTTCATCATGAGGCAGATATTAAAAGAAAGCTGAGGATCTTATCCTCAAGGAGGACTTGCCTGAAGTCCTTTTCTTTTACCCTATTCCTTAGTGAGAATGTTCTGTACTGGTTGATGCATCTGAGAAATCCACTCCTTTCTTCTAGTAAATAGATGGCTTTTCCATATATTTATATCTCTCTCCCTTCAAAAGAGAGAGCAGTATATAATTCAAAAGCTCAAGAAGAAATGCATTATTTGGATTGGTTCTAAAATGTATTATGTCCCATGAAGGTCCTTGCTGGCATTAGCCTGCCTGCCCACGTGAGCTTATTCCCTCCTCATTTTGCACAGAGAACCGCTATGCCCGGAGTGACCCACTGTTTTTCTTTCTTCAGTATGGAGGCTGTGGCTGCCACCAGGCTCTACCAAGAGGTGGATGAGGCCCTTCATGGACTTGTTCAGCTCAGCAACCGGCGCTTGGAGGTGTTACAGCAGGAGAGGGCAAACACACAGGTAATTCCTAACATATCTCTTATTAAATGTCTCTTTGGTAAATATGAAGCTTCTTAGACTTTGGTGGGCTTTTTTGCAGTTGAATCCACAGAAAAACTTAGCTGAAGATACATTGAAACTCATTGTACTCGTGGCTGTTTAAATAGCGATGCCAAACTTGAAATGAGTAAAATGCCTTGAAACTAACTGATGGAAGTATATTTTTATGGTTAGGAACCTGAAATCCTAAAGATATTTTTTAGGAAAACATCTCTTGCTCCTATGCTCATAGCATGGAGCATGCATGCTATGGCTTGGTTCAGTGCCACATTTGGTGCAGTGACTACTTAGTTTGCATTCCCTTGAGGCCAACACCATTTTAGTAGATAAGACATGAGACCCACTAAGGCAGCTTTATGGTGAAGGTGATCACATCTTTTTTGCTCTCTCTTTCAATCTCTCTTTTTCTCTCCCTGGTCTCTATCCCATCACAACAGATACGGCAGCAACCTCTGGAAGACAAGACATGCCTTGAACCTGCTGGTGACAGTGTGGAAGAGAAGAAGGAAGGGAAAAGGCCAGTGGAGGGCCTGGCCGAGGGGGCATCTTTGGAAAGGACAGTGTTACAAAGCCCCAGGTCCCAAGGAAAGACACCACCCTCCCCAGATTCTGGCTGTCCTCCACGGCCACGTGCCTGCAGCATCAGTGCCTCCTCCTCTCCCAAACACGGCTGGGGATTGAGTGCTAGGTTTGGCTCCTCTTGCAGCCTAACCTCCCTTTTCCAGCCACTTGCCAGCCCTAAAGCCTCCCCCTGCTGTTCTCCCACTCGAAGCCATGCCTTGGAAAGTGGCAAGAAGAGGCAAAGCAATCCCAAGTCACCCCTGTCTCCAGCATCCCCTATGGCATTGCGGGCCTCGAGTGACCCAGGCCGGCCCAGTGTCCATATCCGTGGCCTGGAGGTGAGCAGCCGTGAGCTTGCAGACCGGAGCTGTTCTCCTCGTGAACATGTGTTGCTGAGTCGTAGTGGCACACACGTTGCTGAATCTCCTTGGGGAGCCACACCCCGTATGGAAAGAAGGCGTTGTCTTGGGTAAGTAGGGATGGCACTGAAGTGGAGGTGGGACATCATCTCGTCCTTTACTGTGTTGTTAATCCAAAGCTATATCTAAGGCTGAACATTTTGCACTTTTGAGGGCCCAGATAGGTCATGTCAAAGACATTTTGGTCCTTGCTGCAGACAATGAAAATAGCATCCCTGCTTTCCACTCAGAAACCAGGGGTATATTCAGAGCTGTGCAGGAATTGTTCTGTGTCTGTTTCAGTAGGACTTTGTCAGGAGACATTGCTAACGTACAGTGTTGTATAAATCAGACATACCTCTCCCTCATGTTGGTGCTACTGCATCCAAAATCTGCTGCAGATAAGGCAAGGGTATCCTGAAAGTTGCACATGGTTCCCAGCTGTCCCCATAATTATTCTACATTTTAGATTTGAGGGAATTTTATTCAACCATGGATTTTCAATTCACTTCCAGGGCCAATAAAGACACGCAAGGGCTTAAAAACTAACAGGGAATGGGGAAGAAGCAAAATCCTCTCATTCCTTGGAAGCTTTTTTGAGTAGAAACAAACTGAAAACATTTTTCAATTTTAAGTGAAAAGAGTCCAGTGTTGATGGTGGGGAACATGCACCTCTAGACCTGGAAGAAGCAAACCCCTGTGGAGCATCGACCATTGCCCTAATTGATTTAGTATTTTGCAAACAAATATTCTCCCCTTCTTTCTTGACTTCAATAGGCCCACATGCCTTAAATCAGTGTTTCCCAGAAACACTGATATTTGGCCAAGATAATTGAGCTTTTTAAGAGTTAAAGAAACTCTTCTAAGAAACCTGGAGGACTAAAATTTGGGAATAATTGATCTATGTACAAGCAGAGCCAACCAATTCTGTATCTCATTGCTCATCCTTGTCCCCTACTTTATTCTCAGGGTACAACAACAGCTTCTAACTGAAATGCTGGAGTGTGAGCGGGATTATGTGAGTGCCCTTTCCCAGACTCTTTGCCTGTCTCAGGAGCCGGGAGGACAGGCCTGGCCAGCTGAGCTGCGATGCCTGGGCAGTGCTCTCCGGACCACACGAGACCAGTTGTTGGCTTTCCACAACAGCTGCCTCCTTGGAGAGTTGGAAGGATGCATGAACCACCCGTCACGTGCTGGGGGCTGCTTCCTGCGCCATGTGAGTGTTCCCCACACGCCTCCAGCTAATCTCACTGACATTTAAAATTTTGACTTTACTCATTGCTGCATGTTGGGGTCCATTACCTATACCACAAGTCATTCTCTCCTTCCTTTTCCTCACCTTTCTGGACAAAGCCTCTATAAGAGCCAATCTGTCATTGTGATTTAACCTTCAGCTTCTATTCTGTGCTCTGATACAACAATGGTCAACAACATTACTGAGCATATGTTGAAATAATGTTTTGTATTAATTGTTAGTCACACTTGTCTATCTTGCAAAGATAAGTAAGGCTTTCCAAAGGAGATGGTATGATTTCCATATGGAGAAATTAATGCAACATTTCCTCATTTGGAAATATGAAACTATTAATTAGTGCATCTCTCATCTTATACCCTTCCTTCTTCTATATGAAAGCCTTTGGCTGGTTGCTCATTTTAACCATAGATAGTTGCTAAAAGCAGTGTTATTGTTGTTCTGTTGATCAAAGTGGTAATTACAGGTAGTAGTCTGTGAAATGTAAATGTTCTCACTCTTCAACACTTCAGCAAAATATATGGCATTCACGACTAATTAGGGAGTAAATGAGGAACTTCTATGTATTGCAGACAGTTTGTAATATAAAGTGAAGGTGGGAAACTCTGATTTGCCAGATGCTTTCTGTCTTCCTTTATCATTGGACATGCTGGTTAGGAATGGACTGAAACCAGAATCTAAAAACAACCCTAGTCACCCAAGCTCATGGTTTGAGGCTGGCACATAAATATACAACCTGAGTATGTTTGAGTGCACAGTGTAGCAGTTTAAGTGAAAGTCTAGCTTTTTATGGATTATGAATGGCATGAATCATCTTTACCCATTTTCTGGTGATTGGATGAAAATATAAACTACCAGCCAACCTGGATCCATTTACATTATACAATTGTAGCACAATAACTCTACTGGCTGCTATGATTCAATTCAGTGGAATCCCAGGGTTGGTAGTTCAGTGTGTAAATAATACTTTTGCAGTACTAGTACCACAGGAGCCCCCGGTGGCACAGTGGGTTAAACCTCTGTGCCGGCAGGACTGAAGACCGACAGGTTGCAGGTTCGAATCCAGGGAGAGGCAAATGAGCTCCCTCTATCAGCTCCAGCTCCTCATGCGGGGACATGAGAGAAGCCTCCCACAAGGATGATAAAAACATGAAATCATCCAGGCGTCCCCTGGGCAACGTCCTTGCAGACGGCCAATTCTCTCATACCAGAAGCGACTTGCAGTTTCTCAAGTCACTCCTGACATCATAAAAAAAGCTAGTACCACAGTCCTGTCTCTCAGTGTTTTCAGTACCGTCCTGTGTTCCATCTTCTGCACCAAATCTTGTTCTTCTTGATTCCGTACTCAGCTTTCTTCTTGCATTCTAAAATCCTTTACACCTGGGTTGTGACAACTTGTCCTACTCCAAATATTATTGGTTTGCCATCCCCATCAGCCCTATTATGCTGGATCAAATCAAAAGTTGATCCCAATCAGCATTCTGTCCATAAAATTATTATCCAATTGCTGGATATTCATGCAAATGCACTCCAAAATTATACACAGAAGCAAATTGTCCCATAACCTTTCTCATTTCACTGTGTTGACTAAGGCTGATGGAAATTGCAATTCAGCCATATCTGGAGGGCCACAAATTGCTTATCCTTTTTTTGAAACAAGTTTTCAATATATGTGTTCCCTTTTATGTTTGCTTTTGCAAGTTCTACTTCTTTATAAATGTGTTCCTTCTCTGCATGTTCTTCATAGAAGCGGAGAAAATGCTCCCCTTTGGATATGGACTAGACTGCCTTTCCAAACATACCTCAAATGATGCTGCATTCCAATTCCATTTAATGGAAGTTGCAGTCGAACAAGATTTGTACTGCAATTTTACTCATATATTAGAGCTACCACTGCTTCTACAGCTACCACCACTCCCACATCCTCCTCTCCTCCTCCTTGTAGTTTGCTCTGTTTCTGTGCCTTTGACAACCTGGCACACCAAGATGGAACTGATAATAGATATGAAATATTCGGTAATTGTCAGACTGTGGTTTAAAAAACAGAGCCACAGGGTCAAAAATAGTTTTGAAGTTTTGACTTTTTTCTAAAGTTTGTGTTCCCATTTGGTAGGTTGGGAGATGGAAGTCCAAAAGACCAGTCTTTTGTGTAGGCTCTAGCATTTGCTTTCTTCTATTGTAGCTTCTGCTAGGCTGACTGAATGAGAGAGACTTTCCCCTTTTTGTCTTTAGAGGGCGAAACTTCAGCTTTATGCCACCTATGCCAAAGATCACCATAAATTCCAGGCTGCTCTGGCTTCACTTCGAGCATCCAGCAAGGTATGAGCTGCGGGTCACATGCAATGTGGGGGTGGAGGTTCACCTTTGAACTTTTGTGGTGGGCAAAATTAATAGCTTGTTTGGCAGTAGCTGAAAAGAACGATTTTCACACATAATAGAGTCCTTTCACCCATTTGTAAATGGAATGCCTTACAGTGGTGTGGAGGAGTGCAGAGAAAATGGATCCAAGATGCAAGTGTTCAATAAGAGCTGAATGTACATTGTGCGGAGCCTTGTGTTATGTTTCAGAATTCATATATGGCTCTACACAGACAAGTTTTATCTTACAATTACTCTGCCACAAATGTCATATTTTACATGGAGTCCTAGTGATAAAACTTTAGTATGTCTTCCCATAGTTTCTGTCTTTTCTCTTACCTAAAAACCTGCGTTAAGAAGGAAAAGACAGAATATCCAGTTTTGACTTGTAGTATAAGGAATCCCTAACTTAGGCAGGCAGTGGCCAGATATCACAGATCTGCTTTCCCTGTTTGCAACCTCGGAGGACAATTTCACACCACAGAGAATGCATTTTTCCTTTCCTTTCTGATTTTCTTTGGCTTAAAATGGCCACGCACATCTCATGAAGTTAGAAAGAAATGTTTTAGCCACACCTAGGACTTAGAGAAAGGCTTTTTCAACCCAAAGGTGACAAGAAGTTCCTCTTGGAGTTAATATATATTGTTTACTTTCAGTTAGGGGACTTGGAGGCTTTAAAAACAGACTTGATGACTTTGTATGACCCTTGGGTGACATTCTCAATCCCTGCTCTAGTACACCACTGGAAAGCACCTTGCATCTTCTTTTTCTCATTAGGTCTGTGGGTTTCCTGGCAGTCTGGTGGAGCAAGGCCAGGAGCCTGAGTGCCTGGTCTCTGGACTGTCGTGCTCAACAAGCTCATTTGTCTTTATCTCCACTCTCTTTGCAGAAGAGCCCACCAGACTTGCTTGAAGATGGGCCCGCAGCCCGCACTTTGCGTGTGCCCTTGGAGCAGCTGGAACGGTATCGGCGCTTCTTGGGTGAGCTGCTACGCGAATGTGAGCTCGAGCGGGGCCCCGAGCGCCAAGCCCTGCAGGAGGCCCAGCAACTGCTGGAAGCCCAGGAGCAGCGAGGCAGGGATCTGCTGGCTGCCGAGCAGATCCGGGGCTGCGAGGTGAGCGCATGGGCGCTCCCAGCGTGCAGCGCTGCATCCTTCCTTTTGCATAGCTGTGCATGTACTGCTGCTTCCTCTGTTGTTTATTTCATGCCCAGCTTCAATTATCCTATGCTCTACCACTTGCTCAGCTGTGGAGACTCTTTGTACTTACGACATTGTAATGTTTTTGCCCAAGCTTGAGGAATGCTAAGTAGGAGTATCTAGTGAGTAAACTGGAGGATGGGGCATTTTTACTGCTTCTTTTGGAACTGCTTGAAGGGCAGGAGAGTGGGCAATGCCATCCTCAAGATGTTGATCAGAATACCTTTGCCCCTACAGATGAAACTGTCTGAACAAGGACTACTCTTGCAACGTGGTGAGCTCACTGTGGTGTGCGGGCGTCGTAAGTGTCAACGTCACTTATTTCTCTTTGAGCAGCTGTTGCTCTTCACCAAGTGCAAAGGAACTGAGGGTAGCTACGTCTGCAAACAGGCCTTGCAGGTAGGTGGAGTCATCATAGCTCTTCTAGCTCCAGCTGATGATGATGATGATGATGATGATGATAATAATAATAATAACTTTATTTATACCCCGCCATCTCCCCAAGCCCGACATCAAAAGACAAAAAGCAATAAGCAAATAAAACAATACAATTAATATAAATCACATATAAAACAATAACATGCTAAGATTTAAAAACCTATGATAAGACAGTCACTTGAAATAGAATTGTAACCTGTTTGGTTGTTCCAGTGTGCCTTCCTGGAATAATGATCCCATAGCACTTTGTCCTCCAAAGCACTTTACATTTTTTAGGTCTGCTCGTATGCCCTTCCACAAATGCCACTATCACCTTTTTGTCCATGTCCCAGCATTATTTCCATTTTAACTTTACATTTGGCCTTCCCACTGTTTTTAATTGCGTGTTGTCTTATTGATAATGTTGTATATTTTATTGCCTATGTTTTTATTTTAATTGCTTGTACTGTTGTTGTTATTGCTTGTATTGTTGTATTCGGGCTCAGCCTCATGTAAGCCGCACCGAGTCCCTTGGGGAGATGGTGGCGGGGTACAAATAAAGTGTTGTTGTTGTTATTATTATTATTATTATTATTATTATTATTATTAATATTATTATTTGGGGGGACGCTTGTGATCGTTCAATTTGCATATGAAACAAGAAATGTCAAGCAAAATGGTGACCCGATTTAAGGAAACAAGGATATATTGGACTACTGTGCTGTAAAGTGGAATAAAATTCAGCAAAGACAGGTTGTACAATGCAGTGAAGGACTGGCTAATTCATTAGTACCTTTTCTGAAATAATGAGATAAAACTATATTTTCACCGGGGAGGAGAGGTTAATTTTTTAGATAATAGAAACTCTATTTGAGCCCTTTTTCTAGATGTCTGCTGCCCTTTGCAATAAGATTGACCTGTCTTCCCCTACCCTGCACATTTCTCAATCTTGACCAATGATGTCCTACTTGCAGATGGCCCAAGTACAATATCAACTCATATCCCATTAACCATCTCTCCATATTTTCTTTTGGCACAGACAGCTTCCATGGGTCTGACGGAGAGTGTGGGACCTACTGGGCTACGCTTTGAATTGTGGTTTGGACGAGGATCAGCCCGGCAGGCCTTCACACTGCAGGCAGCCTCTGCTGAGGTCAAACATCAGTGGACAAACGTTATAGCCCAACTGCTGTGGAGACAGGGTAGGTCAATGCCAAAGAGAATGGTGATCATGGAGTTGCAGTAGGGCTATTATTTTGCAGAATTATACTTTGTTTTAAGAAATCCTTAGGGTTTTGTATTGACAGAGAAGAACAGATGGAAAGAGCTAAGAGAATGAACCTTTCTTCTAAGAGGAATGTTAGTGGTTTTTAAAAAATCTTCCACATAGTCAATACTTAAATAAGCTTCAAGAAATAAATTGATCTAAGCAAAATAAAATAAAGGTAAAAGATGGGGAAACATAATTATTTTCCTAGCACTGGAATGGTTTCAGAATGGGCAACTGTTGAATCACCTGGATTTAAGCATTCCCGAGTCAGGTGCCACCACAGAAAGGACCCTTCAGTTGCCTAGAGAAAAGGCTGCAATGAAGTTAACTCATTTAGCCATTTCTTACTCCTGAAACCTGGTGTGTCAGAGTAGAATACACTCTGATGTGAGACAAGTGAGACAAGTACCATGGGCTGCAAATACTGGAGTGGGTGCAAAACAGCAATAATATTTGGGGGAAGGAAGCAATGTAAGCAGCTTTCCTGTAACCCATAGGCTAGCCCTCTTGAAGTAGTGTTTGTAACTGCCAGTCTGGTAGCTTCTTTCTTTGAGTGATGTGAGGGATCTTGTACTTTTCTCAGGCAGGAAAGTGTCTATTTTCCTGTGGTGGTTCTGTCCGTCATTGAAAGGAGAGTCTGTTTCCTTTTATAAAAGGGAAAGAAGAGGAGGATTGTGCATAATTTTTACACAACATCCCAGAGCACAATCCCTCTTTGTGAAGAAAATATGAAAAGTGTTTACATATTTAAAATATGCAAAGTATAGGAACAAGGCATGGTTGTTTAATGCATGCTATTCCTAATTCAGTTTCCTGTTTTCCGCATGACGTTAAGTTGGAGAAGAAAAGAAGGGGTAAAAGAGTTGTGTGAAATGAGATGTTTTCTTGGTAATTTGGGAGACTTCTGCTAGGACTTATAGGATGCTTGAAGCATCACAATGCCTTAGGCATTTCTCTTCCTCTTCCACTGCTTCAGCTGCCCACCCATCTGTCTCCATGAGCTTATCCTCCTGCCCTTCCCAGCGTTTGGCCCCTCTTGGCTTGAGTCCTGGGTCCCCTACTGGGCTTTCTTTGCCTGGACATTTTGAGGAGGAAGAATGGGACCCAGATGTTAAGCCTATTCCAAAAGGTGAGTTCACTGCAGTTCTCTTAGTCTTCTCTGTGGGAGTCACTGTTCAGGCTAGAATTTATTTGTGCTTGTTTTTCTTTTTCTGCTAGCTGAGACCCCTGACTCCACTGGAACTTCCCCAGTCCATCCAGAACCACTTAGACAAGGAAGAGGATCCTTACCCAGCAGCAACTCTGCTCTAGGGCACCACCCGTCGGTGAGATTACTTGATATACTGAATTACTGTTGACAATGCTCCTTTGTCCGAGCCACAATTAGCCCTACATATCCAAGGAGAGTATATCCACAGACCCCACCAAACATGACTTGATTTTTTTAATCTCAAAAAGGAAAGAATTTTGCCATTTTATATTAGGTAAAGGTTTCCCCTGACATTAAATCTAGTTGTGTCAGACTCTGGGGGGTGGTGCTCATCTCCATTTCTAAGCCGAAGAGCCGGCGTTGTTCATAGACATCTCCAAGGTCATGTTGCTGGCATGGCTGTATGAAGTGCAATTACCTTCCCGTAGTAGCGGTACCTATTGATGTATTCAAACTTGCATGTTTTTGAACTGCTAGGTTGGCAGGAGCTAACAGTGGGAGCTCACCACACTCCCCAGATTCAAACTATCAACCTTTTGGTCAGCAAGTTCTGCAGCTCAGTGGTTTAAACCACTGTGCCACAAGGGGACCTTTATATTAAAGAAATCATTTTACTATGTCATTGTTTATAGCAGTATTTAAGCATCCATAGAATATGGTATCCACAGTGGTGGGCGGGCTTGGAGCCAAACTCCAGTGGATACTAAGGACCTATTATTGCTTAGACTTCGTTAAGGCAGCAGAGAGAGTATGGAGGTTTTGTAAATGATCCTCCATTGAAAGAAACACCCTATCCATTGAAAAAAACCTGGCATAGCAAGTACAAAAGGTCTTTCTGCTGTACTATCTTCCTACAGAATTGAGAATGTACTGTCTGCACTCTCCAGATGTTTGGAGCTTGAAGTGGTGTGTTCCAGGAAAAGTGTTACCACTTGCTTATGCTGGTTTATATAACTGATCCTATCTAGAAGAGTGGGAAAACGGTGGCCTTTCAGATATCTGGTTTTGGACTTCAGCTCCCAGGAGTTTTAGCCTTTGCAGTGATGTACCCCACCCTCTGCTCCCCTTATGTCAGTTATGAAAGCACCAGAAACATTCTCTTCTGAGGTGTGCATAGAACTCTGTATATGTTGAGTGTGCTCTTTGTGCACAAGATGGTATAATCCTCCTGTCCCACCCTTCCCCCTTCAGGGTTCACCATCATGGCTTTCATGTGTTTTCTTTATTTGCCAGATCTCTGGCCTTGCCGGCGAACCAGTGACCCCACTCTGAGGCCATGGCGGCCAGGTATTACAGTGCCCATGCCAAACCTCTTTGCCTTTGTGCAACCCCTTCAACCCCAACCTTTTACTTGCTACTGACTGTCCCCCCTTCCCCTAAAGTCTAGCACAAGACATTCTCACATCTTTCTCTTAGTCTATATTTTTCCAGACATACTTTCTTGTCCCAAATGTTGACTTCATCCTTGTTTAAAATGTGTGATCCTGTATTTTGGGGCCCTTTAAAATATACATATATAACAACCTATTTTTCCTCTTTGCCGTTCTTCTGTCTTTATATGCCAATCTCATTTGTCCCTATACTACTACTATTGTTTAAAATCTATCTCAATACCAATAGAGCTAGTTGAATATTACTAATAAAAGTTAGTAATTATCTCGCTTTGAGATAAGGTATGTTCTTATTTGGTGAACTTGGGTGAGATGCTTTTTCTCAGCCTTGTTGTTGTAAGCTGTTATGGAAACAGAATGCAAAGATATAGCCTAGTTAGTCCAGATTATCAGTATGCAAAGGGATTTTGTAGTACCTTTGGGACTGATAGAATGATGGAAACAGTTTTGGGAATAGAACTTTAAATGTTGTATATAAAAAGATGGACTACCAAATATGTAGCTTAGCAAAACTTTTGCGTAGTGTTGGGACCCTTTCTTTGTATGCGTGCTCATTTATCCCTCTTTCTTTTACAGCATTGGGTGTGGAGCCTTCACCGGAAACTCTTCTCCCCCAGCAGTCATGGAAGGCAGGACTCAATCTCCAGGGACTCTGGGAACAGAACAGTCTAAGCTCCAAAGAATACTGGAGGGGGGACATGGCATGAATGAGTGCCATTGTCAAACAGTATTATACAGTGTCATCCGATGGTTCTCCTACACACTTCACTCTGCTGCCATCCAATAGGAACACCCAGACATGGCTGTGATGATACCCTGGGATGCTTCTGTTCCCATGCCACACCCAACCAGTGCCTTTCCTACCATTTTCTTGGGCTGGAACTTTACTGAAAGTTATTGGCAAAGCTGATGCTGTTGGTGGTGAAAGGAAGTTGTGTTCCAGACAAAGAAGGACAAACCAACAAGCAGAGGAAATTCTGTTGAGTCAGTCCTTATTCATCAGTGATCAAGTCTATTACATTGCTCAGTTTCCTGGTGCCCTGTCTCCAATCACAGCTGTGAGTCCCTAGGCAAATTGGTGTTTTGCTTAGTGTGATGGGAGTTGAAAGAACAAACCTGGGATGCAATGGCTAAACAACTATAGGAAGCCCATCTGGAACTACATTCAGAGGAAAAGAAGAGGAAAGAGGTGTGCTAGGTTGCATTGGTGAGGGAGACATAGGACATAGCCACTTCCATCTTATCTGAAGGAACTCAGAGTCACCTCTAGATGAATCATGGAAACTAAATGATAATAGCAATATAGTTAATGCTGCAAATGCTTTCCTGGACTGTACCCCTTAGGATGTAGAGAGGAAGCGGTTTAACCCATTTGGATCTTCCCCACTGCAAGCAGGAAGAATGGACCTTCTCACACTGGTGTATCAAAAGTTCTGGCCTGGTCATACCCTTCATGTGTGTTAAAAAATTTACATGGTTTGCCAAGAAAGAACACTTGGTGAAGTGTCTCTTCCACACAGAAAAACTTGCAATCTAAGAACATACAGTCCAAGACATTCTGCTACACAAAATTTCCCCCTCAACACTCAAGGAAGTGGGCCTGAAAAGGCACAAAATATGTAATTAAAGAATTATTGTAATTGGAAGATGGCACATAAAACTGGCAGAGTCTGCAAGACCCATGATTAGACAGACTTATAATTCATCAAAATGTTAACTCTTTGGCTGCTATTTCTAATTAATTCCAAAGAATTTAGTAGCCATAATACATAGGTCTTTCTTCAATTTACAGATAAATACTGTGGCTCTCTACTAATGCCCATTTTGGGGGAGTTTTTTTCATGTCAGGAACGGCTTGAGAAAGTGCAAGTCGCTTCTGATGTGAGAGAATTGGCAATCTGCAACAACTTTGCCCAAGGAACACCCAAATGTTTTATTATCCTGTGGGAGGCTTCTCTCATGTTCCTGCATGAGAAGCTGGAGCTGACAGATGGGAGCTCACCCCGCTCTCCAGATTTGAACCACCAACATTTTGGTCAACAGTCCTGCTGGCATGAGGATTTAGTCCATTGCGCCACTAGGGATCATATAAGTGCAACCACTTTTTAAAGACACTGGTGCTAGTCTGCTTTGCCCAAATTAGTTTACTTCCCCCTTTTAGGATTAGAACAGATTTCTCCATTTACAACCACTTGTTTGAGAAGACTAGTCTTAGTCTGTATTGCCATAAGTTACTGATAAAATATATTACAAAAAAGCAATTCCAGAGTTACAGACCTGGGAAAAATTAGTCTTAGAAGTAATGATGCCAGGGGGCAAGGATGTAAACCTGTGGATAGCCTGTATTACTTTAGGACCAGCTAGGCATAGCAGGTTTATGCATTTACATTTCCTTTATTATGAAACTGAATTAGTTTTAACTGTAAAAGTGGGAAGATGGCTAAGAGGTACATTGTGTATTTCCCAGATTGCAGTTTATCTCCCTGAACACTTGGCTTTTTAAATGCTCAGATGAGACAATGCTCTCATTATGTGTTCAGCAACCATGTTTGGATGTTTTCTTTTTTGTATTTAATTTTTGTTTTTAAACATCAATAGGTGCAAGTGACAGGTGTAATTTTCATCAGCAGGGTGGTTTGAATTTTCCTTAGCTATAATCTGAGCTAAATTTGTCTACTTATCCTGATGTTAGCCCATCACCACCAAATAAGAGCTTTTTCTGAAAACTGTCAACAAAACAGGGGTTGTTACGATTGTGAATAGGAAGGGGAGTATTATTTTTCCTTATGTGTTACAGTTCAGATAGATATACCTGTCCCATATACCTTGCTCTTAATAATCATGTCTTAGCTCAGGCATGGGCAAACTTTGGCTCTCCAGGGGTTTTGGACTTCAACTCCCACCATTCCTAACAGCCTCAGGCCCCTTCCTTAAGCGGCTTAAGCGGCTGAGGGGGAAAAGGAAGGGGCCTGAGGCTGTTAGGAATGGTGGGAGTCCAAAACCCCATGGAGGGCCCAAATTTGCCCAGGCCTGCCTTAACCCCACGATTGTATAGCAACTTGTTTGCCTCCCAGATGTGCTTCAAGAGTCAAAGTGACTTCAGCTTAGTTTGAGAATAGTTCAGTATTCCTAATTTTTCCTGATAACCAGATCGACCCAAACTTCTCCCCTATCTAATAGGATGGTTCCATGTTTTAAGTATGCCTCCTCTTCACTTCGAGGCTTAAATTCTTATTAGAATCATAGAATTGGAAGAGACCTTGTGGGTCATCCAGTCCAAACCCCTGCCAAGAAGCAGGAAAATTGCATTCAAATCACCCTCGAGGCTGTTAGGAAATGTGGAAGTACAAAACCCCTGTAGAGCCAAAGTTTGCCCATGGCTGGGTTATGACATGATTATTAAGGGCAAGGTATATGGGACAGGTATATCCAGCCTCTGCTTAAAAGCTTCCAAAGAAGGAACCTCCACCACACTCCTGGGCAGAGTTCCACTGCTGAACAACTCTCACAGTCAGGAAGTTCTTCCTAACGTTCAGGTGGAATCTCATTTCCTGTACTTTGATTAAACTGGACTAAAGTAGATCCATTGAAACAGTTGGGGTTTGCATATGAGTTGACTCACAATTGGTATTTTGCTTAGTCTGATGGAAGATGAAAGAAAACCCGGGATGCAATTGCAACTATAGGAAGTCTGTCTTGAATGGTTTTACTCTATTTGGGTCTAACCAACATAATCTCATCATAGGTGGATTCAAATGTCCACTTTTCCATATGCAAATCTCCTTTTTCCATACAGAAAATTGACATATCAGAGAAAAGGCTGGATGAGAACTCACCTCCCTGACATTTAGTCCCTTGAGTCTTTCTGCATTTAAGTCTGACATAATACAATCCATTGTTTAGTGCCTCATCTTCAGTTCATGAGATGTGGTCCTGGTTCTCCAACAAAAATTAGGGAATTTGGGTAGAAAGCTTTCATTTTCATAGCAATGTCATGCAGTTTCTAGACTCAAAATCAGAATCTCAGGCTTGGATTTTGCAGCATCTGCCATTCTTTAAATGGCTACATTTTATATTTGAATGCTATATACCTGACCAAAGGTAATACAGTCTCTGGGGCTTGAACTGAATGTGGTCCTGGAGGAACCAGAAGCTCCAATATTGCCTCGTTTCTGTACAGTGTTTCCTAAAGAGGAGCTTTGGCTGCTCTGCAGGCTGGGTAGAGTGCTATAGTTGTGTTGGTTGAGAGAAATCAGAATGGGCATGATGTCATTATTTGATTGAAATGTACAGTGTTTTCAAAACTGCCTGCTGTGCAGATTGAGCGTGTAGGCCCAGGTGTTAGGAAAACTTAAATATGGTGGAAACACTCGTTTTATAACCCATTTGATGAGTGCTTTCTAGCCGTCGCTGCCCGCAAATGTTAAAGCCATCGTAAGGTACTAAGCAACCACCTTGGGTCTCTGTAAATTAATGGTTATCGTTGCTAAACATGTAATCTTGTCAAAATAATCAGTCGGGTTTGTCTAACAAGACCTTATTTTATATATAAAAAAAGCATGCAGAAATCACGTCTGTTATTTCATTCTTTAGTTTCAGAGCTGGCTGCATTACTTGTATTCCCATCATTTCTTTCTGTTTGACTTTAGTTATATTTATCAGCTTGGACTGGAGTTGTACTTAGTAGGCTTGGGTAACTATGGAAAAATTTGGTTCTAAACTCGTTTCGTTTTTAGGGAGGGCCCTTGCGTTTCATTTTTTTAAAGAATTCCGAAATTTTCCTTTAAAAAAGTTCGAAATATACGAAATTTCGTAAAATTATGAATCAATTCGTTAATGGCAGATGCGATTGCGCAATATGCTAAAAAACCCTCCAAATGGGACAGGGGGAACTTCTGAAGCTTCCCTCTCCCTCTGTTGTTGACTGTTGGTGTGATAATTTATTTTTTATCACTGATAAAACAAACAACAACTATAAACCTTGCACCAGACATATGGAAATAATTACGAAACAATTACGAAACAATTTTGAACCAATTACGAAACAAATTGGAAAAATTGTTTCGATTTTAATTACTCCTCACAGTAGTCCTGCATGGCTCAATATTGGATCGTAAGCTAATTTAAATACGAATTAATAACGAATTACGAAATTAACGAATGAAACCGCCCAAGCCTAGTACTTAGGCCTCTTTTTCCCCTTGTCATTGGGTTGTGAAGGTTGTTTTTGTGTTTAGCTTTTAGTATTATTGTGACAATGTTTTCCTTCTAGCTTTTGGTAGAGGCTATTAAGGGGGGGGGGACTTATCTTCAATCAACTTTTACAAGTACTACTAATTTGTTCCAAGGCAATTATTTACGCATTTGGGCATCGATTTCGTTTCCTTCTGAGGAAACATTAAACTTATTTACATCCTTTGCCAGCTTGCCTTCCTGCCCCAATTCCAGTTACTTGTTACACTTTTGCTTGACCTGGCTATGGCCTTTCCCCTTCTCCTCCCTCTCCCTGCTCTCTCCCACATGGAGGGCACTGAAGAGGGAGGACTGCAATAAAAGCAGGCTTTTTTTTTACACTTCTTTTCTTTCTTTTTGGGGGTTACATAGGCTTGTGTGCTCTTCCCCAGCCGGCCAGAGGCCTGTGCAGGAGGTGAATGAAAACCTGGGCCTGCGGTTGCTAGGCAACCCCCGTGTTCCTGGGCCTACCCCGTTCCCTGAACTGACCCCAGTGGCTCAAGAGCAACACTGAGAGGCCCTGTCAATAGGGCCGCTCATACGCTTTCCTGTCCTGGCAAAGCCTGACTCTTACTCATCCATGGTGTATCCTCCTTCCCCACCCTCTAATCAGTGCACGAGCCTGGCTTCGGCCATTCTGCAGAGGCCAGGGCCTCCTCTCGCCCTGTTGCTGTAAGCACTGGCACAGGGAACCCCTTCTTTCCTCCTCCTCCTCATTTCCCTAGCAGATTTTTGTCAGAGCAGAAAATGGCTCACAATGCCAGGAATTTAGCCACGCTGACTTTGCGGCAGACAAGCCCTCCAGACAATACTCTCATCTGCTGCGAGACGAGGCCAAGTTCTGCCAAGCTGGCCATGCCACTCACTCATGTGCCTCGACCCCCCTTTCCTCCCTCTCCTCATGGCACAAACACAGCATACAAATCCAGCTTGTGCCTATCTATGCCAGGGGTGGTGCCTTCCCTCTCCCCTCTTGCATATGACGTGCCATTTTTTCTTTAAAAGGGTGCCTCCCCTCTCTCCGGAGCAGAGCAGACAATGCTCGTCTGTGCCAAGATGGTGCCTTGCTCCCCCATCAATCAAAGGCAGGCCGACCCTGCAGCTTCTCATCTGCTTCCACCAAACAACACTCGCCTCCGCAGGAAGGGCAAATTCTTTCTCGGCGCCCCATAAACGCTTCCTCTGGGCCTTATCTGATTGATTTTTTTGAAAACATTATATATTCAGATTTTAATGCATTTGCTCTGCTTGAATTGTTTGCTGCCATATTTGTTGTTAGCAACCCCTGAATCCAGATATCTGGAGGAAAACAAAGTAAAGGAATGAAACTATACAGTATCACTCTTAGGAAGCAGGGGGGTCCCTCCCCATCCTCACACCAGGGTGTCCAGACAATAATTTGGTGTACCACCCATCCTCTGAATTGTTTATTCTTTCTGAAGGCCTCAAAACTGTGTGATTGTCCCTCCTCCATCACAGTGACAAAACAGATCAGCGTTTTCCCGCCATGACAGATTTTGTGATGTTTTGTTTTATCTTTTGGTCCCTGTGGCCTAGAAAACAAGCCAGCAAGACTAGCATGTTCCCCACTTTTCCCCACAATTCTAGTACCCTCTATATCCCTCTCTTCTCTTCTTTTCCCCAATTCGTGTCCCCATCTTCTCCTCATTCTCCTCAAATTCCAGTCTCCCCTCTTTCCAATTCATGTCCCCCAAAATTTGAATATCCCCCTTTCCCCCAATTCCTCCCTCGTCGCCGGTTTTCCCCAATTCCAGTGTCCCCCTCCTCTTTCCTCTTTTCCCCTTTCTCTCTAGCCCTTCCCCCATCCCGCTCCCCAAATTCCACTGTCCCTCTCTTCTCTTTTCTCCTTCCAATACATAGAATCATAGTTGGAAGAGACCTTGTGGGCCATCCAGTCGAACCCCCTGCCAAGAAGCACGAAAATTGCATACAAAGCACCCCCGACAGATGGCCATCCAGCCTCTGTTTGAAAGCCTCCAAAGAAGGCTCCTTCATCATACTCCGGGCCAGAGAGTACCACTGCTGAACAGTTCTCACAGTTAGGAAGTTTTTCCTAACTGTGAGAGCTGTTTGTGTCCCTCTTCTCTTTCCCAATTCAAATGTCCCCCTACTCTCTTATCTTCCCCCAATTCCGGTTCTCTCCTCTTTTCCTTCCCTGAATTCCAGTTCTCTAATCCTCACCCCTTTCCCACTTCCCACGCCCCCTCTATCTATCCTCTCCCCCTCTTCCCTTTCTCCCCAATTCTATCTCTCTCCCTCTTCGTCTAATTCAAATGTTGCCCTTTTCTTCTCTCTTCCCAATTCCAGTCTCTCTTCTCTGATCCCTAATTCTAGTTCCTTCTCTCTCCCTCTCTTTTCTTTTCCTCCAGTTCCAGTACCCCCTCCTCTCTTATGCCCCCAAATTCCAGGGCCCTCCTCTCTTTCTTCTCTCCTCCTCTTCTTTCCCAATTCTATCTCTCTCCCTCCTCTTTCCCCCAGTTCAAATTTTGCCCTTTTGAGCCTCTACACTCTTCTCTTCCCAGTTCCGGTCTCTCTCCTCTCATATCTCCCTAATTCTAGTTCCCTCTATCTCCTTTCCCTCCAATTCCAGTGCCCTCCCTCATGCCCCCAATTCCAGCCGCCCACTATCTTCCTTCCCAGTTCTATCTCTTCCTCTTCTTTCCTCCAGTTCAAATGTTGTCCTTTTCTCTTCTCTCAGCATTTCTCCTCTGTTATCCCCCCTAATTCTAGTTCCTCCTCTATCCCTCTCTTCTCTTTTGCCTCAATTCCTTCTCTCTCTCTCTCCTCTCCTCTTTCCCTCCAATTTCAGTGCCCCTTCCTCTCTTATGCCCCCAAAGTCCAGTCCCCTACCCCTTTCTTCTCCCCTCTTCCCCCCTCCAATTCTATCTCTCCCTCCTCTCTTCCCCCCCCAGTTCAAATGTTACCCTTTTCTCTTCTCTTCCCAATTCTCTCCTCTTATCTCCCCCCCAAATGATAGTTCCTTCTCTATCCCTCTCTTCTCTTTCCCCTCAATTCCTTCTCTATCCTTCTCTCTTTTCCCCCAATTCCAGGGCTCCCTCTTAGCTCTCCCTTCTCTCTCCCAGTTCAAATGTTGCCCTTTTCTCCTCCCTTCCTAATTCTCTCCTATCTCTCCCCCAATTCCAGGACTCCTTCTTAGCTCTTCTCTCTATCCCTCAGTTAAAATGTTGCCCTTTTCTCTTCCCAACTCTCTCCTCTTATCTCCCCCCAAATGATAGTTCCTTCTTTATCCCTCTCTTCTCTTTCCCCTCAATTCCTTCTCTAGCCTTCTCTCTTTCCCCCAATTCCTTTTCTGTCCCCCTCTTCTCTTTCCCCTCAATTCCTCCTCTATTCCTCTCTCTTTCCCCCCAATTCCAGGGCTCCCTCTTAGCTCTTCCTTCTCTCCCCCCCCCAGTTCAAATGTTCCCAATTCCAGCTTCTCTCCTCTCTTATCCCCCCTAATTTCAGTTCCTCCTCTATCCCTCTTCTTTTTCACCCCAATTCCTTATTTTTTCCTCTCTTCTTTCCTTCCAATTGTAGTGCCCCCTTCCTCTCTTTCTCTAAAAATTCCAGCCCTGGATCTCTTTCTTCTCCCCCTTCTTTTCTCCAATTCTCTCTCTCTTTCCAGTTCAAATATTGACCCTTTGAACCTCTACACTTTTCTTCTCTTCCCAGTTCGTCTCTCTCCTTTCTTATCCCAATTCTAGTTTCTCTTCTATCCCTCTCTTCTTTCCCTCCAATTCCAGTGCCCCTTCCTCTCTTTCTCCTCAAATTCCAGCTCCCTGTCTCTTTTCCCCCCATTCTCTTTCCCTCCTCTTTCCGTAGTTCAAATGTTGCCCCTTTGAGCCTCTACTCTTCTTCTCTTCCCAGTTCCAGTCTCTCTCCTCTTATCTCTCCTCTAATTCTAGTTCCCTTCTCTATTCCTCTTCTCTTCTTTCCTCAGTTCAAATGTTGCCCCTTTGAGCCTCTACTCTTCTTCTCTTCCCAGTTTGTCTCTCTCCTCTCTTATCCCCCCTAATTGTAGTTCCTCTTCTATCCCTCTTCTTTCCCCCCAAATTCCAGCCCCCTATCTCTTTCTTCTCTCTTTTCTCTTTCCCCCAATTCCTTTGAGCCTCTGCACTCTTCTCTATTCCCAGTTCCAGTTTCTCCTGTTATCTCCCCTAATTCTAGTTCTTCCTCTATCCCTCTTGTCTTTCCCTCCAATTCCAGTGCCCCCTTCCTCTTATACCCTCAAATTCCAGCCCCCCATCTCTTTCCCAATTCTCCCTCCCTCCTCTCTTCTTTCCCCAGTTCAAATGTTGCCCCTTTGAGCCTCTACTCTTATCTTACTAATTCCAGCCTCTCTCCTCTTATCTCCCCTCTAATTCTAGTTCCCTTTTCTATCCCTCTCCTCTTTCCCCAGTCCAAATGTTGCCCCTTTGAGCCTCTACTCTTCTTCTCTTCTTAGTTGCAGTCTCTCCTCTCATATCCCCCTAATTCTAGTTCTTCCTCTATCCCTCTCTTCTCTTTCCCAATACCAATGCTCCCTTTCTCTCTTATGCCCCCAAATTCCAGCCCCTATGTCTTTCCCCCCAATTCTCCCTCCCTCCTCTCTTCTCTCCCCAGTTCAAATGTTGCCCCTTTGAGCCTCTACCCTTCTTCTCTTCCCAGTTCCAGTCTCTCTCCTCTCTTCTTTCCCTCCAATTCCAGCGCCCCCTTCCTCTCTTATACCCCCAAATTCCAGCCCCTATCTCTCTTCCCACAATTCTCCCTCCCTCCTCTCTTCTTTTCCCAGTTCAAATGTTGCCTCTTTGAGCCTCTACCCTTCTTCTCTTCCCAGTTCCAGTCTCTCTCCTCTCTTCTTTCCCCAGTTCAAATGTTGCCCCTTGCAGCCTCTACCCTTCTTCTCTTCCCAGTTCCAGTCTCTCTTCTCTCTTATTTCCCCTCTACTTCTAGTTCCCTTCTCTCTCGCTCTCTGTCCTCTTTCCTCCCAACCCCGGGGCCCCTTTCCTTCTTTCCTTCCTCGCTTCCCTTTCCCTCTTTCTCTCCCTCCTCCGGGGCAGGGCTGCTGCCCCTTCGGCTCCGGGCACAATGGAGCCGGGCAATCCCTCGCCGCGCGAGGCTCAGAAATGCAAATCGCCGCCGCCGCTGCTGCTGCCGCCTGCGGCTCCGTACAATGGAAGGGAGGGAGCGAGAGAGAGAGAAAGGGAGGGAGGAAGGAAGAGAGAGAGAGAGAGAGAGAGAGAAGGCGAGGAGGAGGAGAGGGGGGAGCCCCATTGGCGGGGAGGTTCGCTCGCTCGCTCGCCCCGGCCCAGCCCCGGCGACGACGACGAGGAGGAGGAGGAAGAGGAGGGCGACGCGGCGGGTCCCCGGAGCGCCCCTGCCTGCCTTCCTTCCTTCCTCCCCTTCCTTTCCCTTCCTCCTCCTCCTCCGCCTCGCCGCGCGCCTCGGTGAGTAGCTGCGCCGCGCCGCCTCCCCTCCCACCGGGTTCCCCCCTCCCCAGAAAGCCCCATCCCCGCTCTCCCCTTCCCTCCTTCCCTCCCTCTCTCCGGCTCCGGCAGGTGCATGGCTGGAAAGGAGAGAGATCTGGGGGAGGAAGAGCAGGGCATCCGGGCGCAGGGAGGCCAAGGCTCGGCCGCGGCCTCCGGCTTCGCTTATCCCCGAATGACCCGGGCCGTTGCCTCCTCCATTGCCGCTGCTTCTCCTCCTCCTCCTTCTTGCCATGGCCTTGCTTTTCCTCTCCCCCCCCCCCCAAGACACGTGATTGGGATTGCAAACTGGGGTGGGTCGTGGGGGGGGGGGGTAAGTCTGAAGTTGTTGCAGGCAGGGAGGCGAAGAGGGATATTCCCCAGGAGGAGGCCATTTGGGGTGAAGGAAAATTTTTAAAAAAGGGGTGCAAGGTTTAGCAGGTGGATAATCTTCATGGGGGGTCTCATTTGGGGATGCAAAAATGAGCCCTCCTCCTCTTTCCCCTACCCCCCTTGAAAACATCCCTCCTTTTCCTAGTGGTAGGGGTCACTTGGCTGGATTATTTTAACTTTGGTTATGTTTCAACCAAAACAGAATTAGACCCCCCCCTTTTAATTTTTGTGTGTTTGTATGTAGCTTCTAATAATGTACAGAGAAGCTTCTAATATTGTACACTTTCTAAGCCACCCCATCCCAACTCCCACCCCAACTCCCACCCAGGCTCTCATCTCCAGGGCATCTTTCCCTCTTTTTCACACTGGAAGGGGCCGCTTTTCCTCCTCATCCCCAATCCCATATTTTTCCCTTGGGTCCCACTATATGGGAAAGCAGGGGTGCATCTTTGTGGGGTGTCTGGGCAGGTACCCATCTCACTTTGGGGCCCCACACAGTGGAAGGGACCACTTTTCCTCCTCTTCCCCAATCCTATTTTTTTTCCTTAGGTGCCACTATATGGGGAAAGGAGGGGTGCATCTTTGTGGGGTGTCTGGGCAGGTACCCATCTCACTTTGGGACCCCACACAGTGGAAGGGGCTACTTTTCCTCCTCTTCCCCAATCCCATATTTTTTCCCCTTGGGTGCCACTATGTGTGAAAGTAGGGGTGCAGTCTTTGTGGGGTGTCTAGGTAGGTGCCCATCTCACTTTGGGACCCCACACTTTTCCTCCTCTTCCCCAATCCCATATTTTTTCCCTGGGAGCCACTATATGTGAAAGTAGGGGTGCAGTCTTTGTGGGGTGTCTGAGCAGATGCCCATCTCACTTTGGGGTCTCAAGGCCTCACTCTGGTTCCCCTCTTTCCCTCTTTTTCACAATGGAAGGGGACACTTTTCCTCCTCTTCCCCAATCCCATATTTTTCCTTGGATAACACTATATGGAAAAGGAGTGGTGCAGTCTTTGTAGGGTGTCTGAACACATGCCCATCTCACTTTGGAGCCCCAAGGCCTCAGTCTTGCTCCCCTCGTTTTCACAGTGGAAAGGGCTGCTTTTCCTCCTCTTCCCCAATCCCATATTTTTTCTTGGGTATCACTTTATGGGAAAGGAGGGGTGCAGTCTTTGTGGGGTGCCTGAGCAGGTGCCCATCTCACTTTGGAGCCCCAAGGCCTTACTCTGGCTTCCTTCTCCAGGACATCCCCCTTTTTCACAATGGAAGGGGCCGCTTTTCCTCCTCTTCCCCAATCCCATATTTTTCCTTGGGTGCCACTATATGGGAAAGGAGGGGTGCAATATTTGTGGGGTGTCTGAGCAGTTGCCTATCTCACTTTGGAGCCCCAAGGCCTCACTCTGGTTCCCCTCTCCAAGGCACCTCTCTTTCTCTTTTCTACTTTGTTGAAAGGGCCACTTTTCCTCCCCTAATACCATTTTTTCCTTGGGTGCTACTAAATGGGAAAGGAGGGGTGCAGTCTGTGGGGTGTCTGAGCAGGTGCCTGTCTCACTTTTGGGGTCCCAAGGCCTCACTCTGGCTCACCTCTCCAAAGCATCCCTCTTTCCCTCTTCTACTTTGTTTTCCTCCTCATATCTGTAACCCTATAAATGGAAAAGCATGGCTGATTTGGGGGGGGGGGTGCAGTATGTGAGGGTATCGTGTACACCCACAACACAAAGCTGTGAATCTTAAAAGACAGTGGCATGGCCTTAAAAGTGTAACAAACTAGCAAGACAGGAGAGTCCAACTGTGGTGGGGGCCAAGAGATCTTAGGCCCCTTCCACACAGCTGAATAAAACCCCACATTTTCTGCTTTGAACTGGAATTTATGGCAGTGTGGACTCAGATGACCCAGTTCAAAGCAGATATTGTGGAATGTTCTGCCTTGATATTTTGGGTTATATGTCTGTGTGGAAGGGCCTCTAGTCACTGGAACAGACCCCCCCCCCCTATACTCATCCTTTCTCTCAACACCCCCCCCCCCCAAATGTGCACTGGAGCATTTGCTGAGGCAGCTGCTGCCTTTGTTTGGGGTGTGTGTGTGGGGTGGGAAAGGGGCGGTCAGCTCTGCGTGTCTCTGTCTCTTTCGCTGGGACAGTCACTCTCTTGTCTCGCTCGCAGGCCAAGGCAGGGCTTAGTGGAATGACTGTGAAGACTGGGGGATGCTCCCATGCGCATGCCCCCTCCCCTTTACCCTCTCGTGGCCTGGAAGTTGGCGGGAGTTGGCTTGAGGCCTGGCAATCGCCCGCCCTCTCTACTCCAGACAACAGCCCACTTTTTCCTTAGGATGAGTTCCCCCTAAGAAGCAGCCATCTTGTTTGTTTGGGGTTTTTTTTTCTAAGTGAGGCTGAACCTTATGTACAAAACAACCCGTTCGGCACAAGTGTAACAGTCCCCGTGTGATGCACAAACAAGCGAAACTGGAGAGTCTGTCTCCATCCGTCGCACAGAATAAAAAGATGTAATATTGTGGGGGGATTATGTGATTTTCCCGCCCCCTCCGTTAGTCATTTGGGTAGTGCCATAGGCCCAGCATGGCACGATGCCAAAATGAATCAGCTATCTTTTATGCAGGCTTATGAATACCCCCCCCCCCCTGCCTTTCGCTGCTGCAGAGAACAAGGCATTATCGTTTGATTTGAGCAATGCCAGCCATAGTGCAAGCTCCCCAAATATTTTCTATTTGCACTAAGCCACCATTTTAGGCAGCTAGAATGTTTTCATCATTAGGGTGTAAGCAAATCATTTGGTGTGCTCCTCCTTACTCAGGGTTTGGTGTCAGCAGCCATTGTAGAGCATACAAAACAGTAAAAAAGATCCCCAAGGATGCATAGAGTGCCTCTCCTTCGCCCCTAACCACAATCAGAAGCTCTAATCTACCCTAAATTGAGATTATGGGATGGAATTTCACAGACCTGATTTCTAAGCAGGCGAGCCCCGTTTCCACTGTTATTAAAATATGATATTCTCTCATTTGGAAAGGATCAGAAAATGTTCCCACAGAACACATACACGCACAACATCAGTAGGACAAGCGTTTGGCCTATATATTTTTCAACATGGGCAAGCCTTTAAGTTGTGCAAAACTTTCCTTCAGGATCAATAAAAAGTTCAAAATAATATCTTTTTCCCCTGCCTAAGGAATTTTTCTACAAATTGCAGAAGGCTGCTGAATTGCGTAGTCTATCTGAACCACCTTAGGGCTTGTTCATACAAGTTTATGATGTTATTCTAAGGTTCTTATCCTGAAATAATAACCTTTGTCTATACACGCAAAAATTCCAGGGAGTTTCTACCACAGTTGATTACTGATTTCATTCACAGGTTGCTGTACACCATCCAACGGCAATCACAATCTAATTTTAGTTTACACTATCGCCTAACCCAGGGTGAGAAAAATTAAGAAAGAAATATTCAGAGTCCTGTATCTTGCTGTGAGTTGCTAAATACCTTTTAGCTGATTACTAGATCAGCCTTGCTGAATTCAAGGTCTCCTGTTCCAGAATCACTGTACTTCTGACAACATTTTTACAGTAGACTTACACTGTTTTAATAATCATGCTTGCTTCTCAAGAAATTCCAAGAAGTGTAGTCAGAGAAGACTTAAAGCTCTAAATGGTCAACTTAATCATTAACTTACAATTCCATTCATACGTTTTGGTAGCAAAGGAAGGACTCCCGATTGTTAACTGGCTAGAGATTCCCTGTCCATTCAGGATGGGGATTGCAAGGCTGCCCTGATGTTGTTGGACTATAATGACCAGCATTCCTCACATTTGGTTCTTTTTACTAGGATGATGAGAGCTGCGGTACAATATCTGGTCTTAAGTTCTTGCACCTGATGTAAATAGTCCTTTAGGAAGATGAAAGTAATCTGTATAACAAGACATACGAACAGTTTGAAAGTATGATGTATTGTTGAAGGTTTTCGTGGCCAGAATCACTGGGTTGTTGTGAGTTTTCTGGGCTGTATAGCCATGTTCCAGAAGCATTTGCTCCTGACAGTTCACCTGCATCTATGGCAGGCATCCTCAGAAGTTGTGAGGTCTGAGGTGAGGTCAGAACCTCTGAGGATGCCTACCATAGATGCAGGCAAAATATCAGGAGAGAATGCTTCTTGAACATGGCCATACAGCCTGGAAAACTCACAGCAACCCAGATGAAAGTACCTGTGCATTTTGCATCACAAATATAAAACACACAGAGGTTTGTGTGTGTGTCTCACTTTGAAACTTGAGATAAATTCTGAAGGTCAGGTCTGTGTCTTGTTTGTGGAATGTACAATGTGTAATCTTTGTACAGACTAGAAATAATGCTAATACAGGTTGAGTATCCCATATCTGAAATGCTTGAGACCAGAATTGTTTCGGATTTTTCTGGGTTTTGGAATACTTGTGTTTGTATATACTTACATAATAAGGAATTTTGGAGATGGGGCCTAAGTCTAAACACAAATCCATTTATGTTTCATATACACCTTACATGCATAGTTTAAAAATAATTTTACACAATATTTTAAAATGTGCTTGAAACAAAGCTTGTGTACATTGGACCAAGA